AATAATACAAGTTGTTGAAAAACTTTTTTTGTGATTATGGGATCATTAGGTATTCACTTACAGAGGTTTTTGTTCCTGTAAAAATTGATTATTCATTCATTAATTTATTAAATCAATTGTTTTTTATTTATTTATACAGGATTTTCATAATCGTATCCTTAATCTTAAATCATTATAAGGATTTTTAACATATCCTTTATCAACCCGTAGACTAAATTTCAACTAATGCTCACGCCTTAAAAGATGGACATATTCGACCATGGCATAACCGATTAACAGTGGTACCCTTTAAACCTTAAAAGTTATTAATTAAGATTCTGGCGTCGCCATAAAACTGAATTCTTGGGTTTTGCAATGAAATAAAGAAGGAAATTGTCCAAATTTAAAACTAGTTTTCATTTAAAATTACGCCGTTTCCTGCAGTCGATAAATGGCTAAAAGCTTTAAAAAAAAAGGAATATTTTTAAATCATAATTTGAAACCTGCCAACTTAAATTAGAATCAAGTATGAAAATATGAAGCATAAATTTCAGTTAAAAGCATATATTTCAAGATATTTCAAGATAAACATAGTTTTCCTCTCAAAGGGAGGAAAGTGGAGGGGGGTTATTGTAAACACAAATATTATGAATCTAACGTTACGAATTAATAGAATTTTTTAAAACTGAAGCTAGAAGTATAAGGCTATGCCACTTTTAACCCTATTCCTGCTGGGGGGGGGGGTCAAGTTGACCCCCCCCTGTAGTTTTTTTACATAACTCAAAAAGTATTGGTCTGAGGCTGTTGAAATTTTCTGACTTTTCTTACATACCCACAGCCCTCCCTTTAGGCCTAAAACCGGACTTTAATACTAACTGCCTGAGTCCTCTGGCACACTGCCTGAATGACTGTTTTTTCCTGTAACAAACTAAATCTTTGTTTTGACCCACTTCCACTTGTCAGATTTTGATAAAATTTAGCTTGTTGGAAAGCCTTTGACATAAGAAAACGAATTGCACAAGTTTTGCGAAAAAAATTGCAAATTTTTTGCAAACAACCTGTCAAAGGAAATTTGCACATTTTTAGTTTTTCTTAATAAAAAATCAGGTTATTTAAAATTTTGCAAAAATTTTTGCATATTTGAAATGGCATGGTCAAGGGCTTTTCAAAAATATATAGTTTTTCATTTTGGACAAATTTTTTTTTGCAAACATTTTTACTATATAACTGGATTTTGCGATAAAAAATTCAATTTTTGCAAATTTGCAAATTTTTTTGGAGATTCTAAAAGTAGAGCACAAGAGCTTTCCAATGATGTATCATTTGTCATATTTGGACATCAAACATGGGATTTAGAGGGGGGGGGGGGCAAATTGACCCCCCCCCGCATATCCCGGTTTTCAAGTACCCCAGCAGAGATAGGGTTACATCTTCAAAATCGGCTTTGATCAATTTCTCAGTTTTGAAATAAATAAGGCATATTCCCCCCCCCCCCTCATCTTCAACAACTCTATTATTCTTTATTCTCGTACGTGCCCTTATCTGCCCGCCTGACTACGCCACCATACCAAACCTGACCGCTGAGGGTCAACCTCTACAACCCTGCCCTACTTAGTTCCTTACTCAAAATAAGTTGTACATCCTCTCATAGATACCTCTGTACAAGGTTGTAATGCAAGTAAAGTTATTTCAGAGGTGTACGCATCTTTTGTACTGCAGTGTACTGTCTCTGGGCGGTAATGTAAACACAAAACGGATGTCGAAGCCTGACATGGGATTCATCTTTCACGAAAAAATCAATGAAATATTCTGGTCATATAGGAGAATATTATGTGAATTATCAAAATTATTAAAATTATCAGAATTTAATGTTTTTAACCCCCTCGGATACTAAACGAACAATGATGCATTTATTATTGTTTTCAAATCCCGCCCAGAAAGTACTGGTTTCAATATGTACGCAGAGTGTACGCAACTGCAATTAACTTTCCTTGCATTGCAACCTTGCCTCTGTTGCAATGCCTCTGTTGCTTTGTTTAACTAACTATAAATTAAAAAATCTGGTCATTTTTTGTTTATACTGTTTTTTTTTGTGGTTTCTCTGGAAATCTTGCTTAAATAAAGAAACTTAATGTAGAAATTCGTAGAATAATCTTTTTGATCATATCACTAGTTGTCAAGGGTATCTTTATCTATCGGGCATAGCTATTGTCTTTGTATGAAGAATCGCTTAAAATAAGGCATACATTCCTTTTAATACCCCTGACCCATTTTGTGCAAACATATAGCTATATTTTAGTCATCGATGACTAACTTCATTAAGATGTTAATTATGGGGTAATTAAATCAACTATAACATTTAATTATAAAGTATAATGATTTCTCTAGACCTCAATATGCGTTTAATACAAACCATATTTTAAATGGATGCACTACACCATGAAGATATACAATTGGCGGCACAAGAATCTGTTTTTTATTTTTAAAACGATCCTTTTCAAAAGCGATGGTTTGAAAACGATCTTTTGGTTTTTCGGTTTTTCTACGTCGTTTACGTAACAATTGCAGGTCCGTAAAAGTTAAAATTATGAAATTGGATTTATTATTTAATTATAACATTTACTTCGGTCTTGCAGCATTTCCGTCCTTCAGTACTTCCGTCCTACAATACTTCGGACCTACTGCAACATCGGATCTACGACAGCTGTAGGTCGGATGTACATTCTATTTTGTAGATCCGACCTACACAGGAACTGCAGATCTTGTCAGTATATAGTTGATAGTTATTCCATAAGGATCTCGCTGTTCCCGTTGCACACAAGGAGTTGAGTATTCGCCACAAACTTTGATTTTTAAATACCTATATCTTTGGAACCAAATTTCGTAAACCTTTGATATTTCAAATTTACATTATTTGATCTAACAGAAATCATAGTTTGAAATGTAACAGGTCTACGACATTGTAATCCCGAGATATAGGGATTTGAAAATCAGAGTTGGTGGCAAAGACTCAATTCCTTTGTAGGTCAGATGCACATACTTTTGTAGATCGGATGCACACTTTTTGTTGGTCGGAATTGCACAGTTTTGTAGTTCGGATGAACACTTTTTGAAGGTCGGATGCACAACTTTTATAGTTCGGATGAACACATTTTGTAGGTCGGATGCACACTTTTTGTAGGTCGAATGTTAGATTTGTGAAGTCTGGGCCGAGCGCTGCAACTAGGACAGGCTAGGGGGGGGGGGCCGAGCCCTGCAGGCCACATTATCAAATTGACTAAGTGAGGTAAGGTAAGGTTAAGCCAATTTCTGGGCCGAGCGCTGCGACTAGAACAGGCTAGGGGGCCGAGCACTGCCAATCTATTGTATTTTACAATCTATTTGGTCGATACAAAAAAAATATTGACATAAATCAACAGTTTTTAGACTAAATAACAACATCAACTTCTTTATTGCTGGCTAAATAACGGTTTACTTGATGCCGTTGAGATTGTGAATCTAACATACATTTTGTTTTCTTTGGTAGCCCTCACTTACAGTCCCTTTAAGCTGAAAAAATTCTCAAGGTGTGATGAAGAGGGGGGGGGGAGGTGGAATTCATGGAATCTCCGTAAATATACCGAGGGTTGGAGAATAAAGGTGTAAGCTGTATAGTGTATATATAACTAGGTTTCCTTTACTCTTTCTCATTCCCTTCTATGATTTTGATACATATATTTTTGTTGTTAAATCACAATCTTTATTGGACCGTTCAAGATGATCCTGAAGCACAAATTGATACAATTGTTTTGCAATACTGTTTCTCGTTTGAATTTGTGTAATGAAGCTTCTAAACTTAAATAATTTCATATAATCCTTTTTTGACCATTTTTACAAGAGAAATGCTTCAAAATTGTTGAACAATTTATTAAATCAATGAAAAAGACAATTAAACACAACTCTTCAGGCAATTTGAGGTTTTTATTATTCTTTGCAAGGTTATAATGCACGGAAAGTTAATTGCAGTTGCGTACACTCCGCGTACATATTGAAACCAGTTCTCTCTAGGCGGAATTTGTAAACAAGAATAGAGGCATCAATGTTCGTTTAGTATCCGAGGAGGTTAAAAGCATTAAATTTTGATAATTTTGATAATTCACATAATAGTTTCCTATGACCCGAATATTTCATTGATTTTTTAAAGTGAAATATGGAATCCATGTCAGGAGGCTTCGACATCCATCTTGTGTTTACATTACCGCCCAGAGACAGTACACTGCAGTGCAAAAGATGCGTGCACCTCTGAAATATATTTCCTTGCATTAAACCTTGATACTTATAAGTATGGGTGACGTAAAAACCAAATCTAAAGCAAAAAACAAAGAAAATAAATTATTTGCTTAGAAACTTTCCATCTAACTATTTATCTATCTATCTATCTATCTATCTATTTATCTTTTAGAAATCATATATTTTAGCAAAAAAAATTACTTAATTGAAAGAAAAAATTTATTTTTGTTTTACAGAAAATGAAAAATCAACCTTGTAAAGAAAATAACAATTTATTAAATTTGGAAAATATAATAATATATAATAATTCTAGTATCTTATCAAGACTACCATTTTTATTAGTCTCTTGTTTTAGTATCTTATCAAGACTACCATGTTTACTAGTCTCTTGTTTTAGTATCTTATCAATACTACCATTTTTATTAGTCTCTTGTTTTAGTATCTTATCAAGACTACCATGTTTACTAGTCTCTTGTTTTAGTATCTTATCAATACTACCATTTTATTAGTCTCTTGTTTTAGTATCTTATCAAGACTACCATTTTTATTAGTCTCTTGTTTCAGTATCTTATCAAGACTACCATGTATATTAGTCTTTTTCTTATTCATCCTATCAAGACTATACCTTGTCTATTTGGGATGATCAAGTTTTATAAATATTTTGTTTTGGGATGCTCAAATTTTATAAATATTTGTTTTTGGGATGCTCAAATTTGATGAACTTTTGTTTAGGGATGATCAAATTTTTGTTTAGGGATGATCAAATTTTGCTTTCCTGCATTCTTTCTCTTATTTTTTCTCACTGTGGTTAATTCAGGTAATATCTAGACACAGTAATCCAATGTGTGCAATGTATATGCCTTATGCATACCTACAGTGTATGCAGTGGTAGGATATTATATCGATACAATGAAGACGACTTTCGACTAAATTTTTTTATTTATATCAAGCTGTTAAACAGCACAGAAGTTGTCAATTAAAAAAGCGTATCTTTGATTACTTTACTCGTAAACTTGTGTTTAAAAAAGTTTGTTAACAATAAAAAATTTAATAAAAAAATTTGTCTTTATTGTATTGAAATATCAAAATTTCGCCAATTACTCCTGATAATCTAAAGCAAATAAGGAGCCTGTTGTTGTTTAAAATGTCTACACACACAAGTTAGTAATGTAAAACCAAAGCTTGAACACAATATCTTTCAATCTTTTTAAATCTGAATGTTTTACGGTGTTAGTTATCTTTAAAAGAGAGACATTTTATTTTGTCTAAATCTTGTTTTTCTTTTAAAAATATATAATATTGATTTATTTTCAGCATATGAAGGGCTGCTACTGTACCCAAGGAACGGTTTATAACTTTTCAAAATGTTAATTTTGTTTAAAATTAACAGCTTTTTATTTGAATAAAAAACAAAGTTGAAAAGTTCATTTTATATGAGCCATTGCATTACAAATTCAAAATATAACATTATTATTATCATAACTATTTTGATTTATTATTTTTATTCTTTTTATGGTTTGTTTCATCAATTAATACCATAATTATTTTTTTAATTATCCTTATAAGCAATATAATTCTTAATTATTATTACTATTATTAAACTCACTCCTCCAAAAAAAAAGTTTTTGCCAAAACTCAAGTTTTCCAATTCCTTCATCTTTGCAACCATTTGGTGTAAACATTTGATATTTATAAAACCTAGACTATATGGTCTATGGTCTCTGACATTGAATTGCAAAGATAGCGAGTACAAAGTTAGAGTTTGTGGCAAAAAAAAAACATTTACTTTGGATTCATTTTTTGTTTAAAAAACCGGTTTAACAGGGTTGGAAGGGGGCCCTACGGATCCGTGTCATCCCTGATTATGTATCCTAGGTAATATCCCTGATTATGTATCTTAGGTAATATCTCTGATTATGTATCCTGGGTAATATCTCTGATTATGTATCCTAGGTAATATCCCTGATTATTTATCCTAGGTAATATCCCTGATTATGTATCCTAGGTAATATCCCTGATTATTTATCCTAGCCTTTTTGTTATCGATTAGTTCCAACCGCTAAAAAAGAAAGATTTCAGTTAATTTTAAAAGTAAGAACGGATCGTTCGGTTAGTTTTGTTTTCATTCAAAAACTATCGTTTCATTCCAAAACTATCATAAATTAGTTTCATTCCTTTCAATAACGATAGTTTTCTAAAACGATCGTTTTGATTTTAGATTTTTTTCTCCGTTAACAAAATGAAACGAACGTTTTTCACAAAGTCAAAACTGCCCTTTCCTATTTGCAGTAACTGAATTAAAATATGATTGCATCAAATACGTTTTCTCTCTGATTATAGAGTTGGTCGAAGCTTTGGGAGATTGCGAGATCGAAGTGAATATTATCAGAACTCCGATAATTCAAAAGGTATTTAAAATTTGTTTTTTAAATTCTCGTCTTGTTTGAAGAATCAATAGAATAAAGAGAAAAAAGCAATTAAAAATCTCAAATCACTGCTTTAGATCACGAAGTCCTAAAACCAGAAGCGGATATCCTGGAACCGGAAGTCCTTGGCCCGGAAGAGAAGCCCCCTGGCATGATTTATCCGATCTACCTGAAAAACAAGAAGACTCCAGAAACTACAAGCAAACCACAGCCTAGGTAAAAAAGTTCAGACTAATTTTGAATCATTTGGTACCCTAAGTTCTGAGCTTTGGCGTTTTATATCCATTAGAAAAAAATCAATATGCGTATCATTTTAAGCTAAAAGAAATAAAAAGTTTTTGGTTTAAGGGAATCATAGATATAATGAAACAGATAGTTCCACAAGGTGAGTATGGCCAGCCACAACAATTTCTAGTCCAAGCCACATTCTCCTCAGTTTCTCGTCCTAGCCACCTCGAAATCATTGTCCTTCAATTTTGATGTGTTTTATAAGTTTATAATTTTTTAAAAATCTAGTCATACAAAATGGGTAGACTTAAGTATTTCAATGATTACATCAAGTTGGAATCTTTAAAGCCATGAGATGTCAAACTTCATTGAGGTAAATCTCTTCTGCCTCCGTAATGGCTAACCTTTCCGATATAAAATATATAGCAAAATATTTGGCATTCCTCTGCCTATCTTTTTCCGGAAAAATTCTATGGTTTTCACTATAATTATGAAAAAAAGATTAAAGTTGCATTCTCACCAGGAATATCTGAAAATGCGCGTACAAAATTAAAACATTTGAAAAGATATTGAACTCGAAAACTTTAATTCAATTGAAACTATTTTTTCCGATTAACAAAAATTCAATATTTCATTTATGCCCTTACGTAGCCTGATTCTTAAAAAAAATAATTTCATCTTTGAGGATTAGACACTTAAAAAAAATTAAAGGAAGGACGAGGATTTCGAGGTCGCTCGGGCGAGAAAATGTGGAGAATGTGGTCCGGACTGGAAATTGTTGTGGCTGACCTTCCTCCCCTCGTTCCACACATGCAGCCTTCTGTAAAGTCTCTTTTTTATTGGCAACACTGCAGTACACATTGTTTATTTTAGAGTAATTCGTGGCAGATTTGACAAGATGTCTCAGCTGATTCCCTATCCTCGTGTTGGGAAGAGGGGGTCGCCATTTTCTTTTAAAGGTAGTTTACGCGCGTAGCATTTATATTAACACAATCATACGCGGGATTTTTTTAATGAGCGAATTGATCATAACTTTCTTTGGTTAAAACACTTCTCCAGATGAAGGGAGTGCGGTACCTGGTATACTCTTGGGATAAAAAAATCTTTTCAAAATACAAAAAAAACTCATACATTCTTTATTTATTATTGCAGAACCTACCGTTGCCATGTTGCCCTTTTTTATTAATGCGTTTTTGAATTTGAAACACCCTGTAGAATTTCCAAAGGAAAAGAGGAGACAATTCACAGATTTTCGTTTTAAATGTGATGATTCCACAGTTCTTTGTACACAAAGTTTAAAACATTTTTATTCTTTATTTTCTTTATTTTTCAAACCTTAGTAGCTTTTTCATTTGTGGAATTAAATTCGAATTTCTTTATTTCACGGTGGGAAATTTTCTTCAGTTTTTTTGTCAACATTATATCAATCCCTGCAGTACACTTTAACCCTATCCCGATTGGGCTATTTTTGTCTAATATATATTTGGTGAGGGGGGGGGGGGTGTTTTCCAACCCCCCCATGATTTTGCCATTAGAGTTGAGATAGGGGAGTGTATTACATGTTTCTAGTCCAAATTTTCAGGGCTTGCTCAGTAAAAAAATTTGACATCTAAATTTAATTGTTTGTTGTGTAAGGGAGGATTTTTAAAAAGTTCAAAAAGTATGTCGAAAAATTTTTAAAAAATAGTTATTTTTACTTTTAACAAATATTGACATATGATGCATGTTAATATATCCATTTTTCAAGACCTTTTTTAATATATCAGTCTAAGCCCTGCAATAGCTTAATTAATAAAAAAATTATTAACCATTTCTGATTTTTTAAACTCCGAGCCGCCATTTGACCATTCTCCACCCTACCCTATGCATAACAGAAAATATTTTTTTATCAAAATTTGTTAACAACTATGATTTTGAAAAAGTGAAGAAAATTTAGCGTTCTAATGTAAGCCGTTTTTAAATTATTCAGAAAAAACCAGAGGGAGGGGAAGAAAACACACCCCCCTAATCGTGATAGGGTTAATACATAAAAAAGTGAAAATCTAATTTGCATTTGTTTTTAATATTAATAAATTGTTTAAATATCAGAGTTTTCCAAACTTCTATTTAAGTCATTAATGAATTAAGAAATAGAAAGTTCGGGATCTTGATTTATAAATAATTTGGATTTAAGGAGTTTCCCTCTGGAGACTGAATCTTGCATTAAGTAATCAAATATGGTAGATTAATTATCAAATGTCGTTTTGAAGTTTGTAGTTATTTCCGAAAAGTGCTCTGAACATTTCTAGATAGGAATCAAGTTTTTGCAGCAAAATTTAAGATTTCTAATCCCTATATCTTTGCAACCAGGTGGTGTAAATCTTTGATATTACAGACTATGGATAACAGAAATCAGAATTCATTATTTGAAATATCAAAGGTCTACGCCATCGGGTTACACAAATATAGGGAATAAAAGTTATAGTTTGGGGGAAAACCTTTAGAAATTATGGAATGATAAAAAATAAAGAACGAACAAAGATGACATTCAGTCCAAACCTTTCTGTTTCTAACTGTAGAAAAAACCAAATACTTTTCATTTCGATTTAACTGTAAACCCAAGTGTCCCCAAGATGAATTAATTGTAAACCCAAGTGTCCCCAAGATGAATCAATTGTAAACCCAAGTGTCCCCAAGATGAATTAATTGTAAACCCAAGTGTCCTCAAGGTAAATTAGTTGTAAACCCAAGTGTCCCCAAGATGAATTAATTTTAAAACCAAGTGTCCTCAAGGTAAATTAATTGTAAACCCAAGTGTCACCAAGATGAATTAATTTTAAACCCAAGTGTCCCCGAGATGAATTAATTGTAATTCCAAGTGTCCCCGAGATGAATCAATTGTAAAGCCAAGTGTCCCCAAGATGAATCAATTGTAAACCCAAGTGTCCCCAAGGTAAATTAGTTGTAAACCCAAGTGTCTCCAAGATGAATCAATTGTAAACCCAAGTGTCCTCAAGGTAAATTAGTTGTAAACCCAAGTGTCCCCGAGATGAATCAGTTGTAAACCCAAGTGTCTCCAAGATGAATCAGTTGTAAACCCAAGTGTCCCCAAGATGAATTAATTGTAAACCCAAGTGTCCTCAAGGTAAATTAATTGTAAACCCAAGTGTCCTCAAGGTAAATTAATTGTAAACCCAAGTGTCCCCAAGATGAATCAGTTGTAAACCTAAGTGTCACCGAGAAAAATCATCATAGATACAGGGGAAAAAAGAAAAGCTGTCAATTAAAAAGCGTGCAAGAAATCAAAAATTAAATTTAAATGTCGTCTTCATTGTATTGATATAAACGTCAACCTCTGTAAAAAATATAAGAAGACCGATACAAGTGTCTTTATGTTTCGCCTTCTGTCCACAATATACTGCATTAATAATTCACTGTCAGATTCGTATCACAGCAAAATTCTCAAAATAGAAAAACATGGCTTATTAACCTTTTTTAGTCTAGTGCACAATATAACTTTAAGGGGCTGTTGACTAGAATTCAAGAGTTATATGCTTGATATCCTTAAAACATTCACCTGATACATAAATCCAGGGTGCATCATAATCTTGATACCTGACCTTTCTTTTTACCTGAGAAATGCATCGAAAGTGTATTTAAAGAGACCGTAATTGCAATTTCAAGTAACCCTCCATGCAAAGATGACTAATCCCTATTCAGATACGGTACACTGAGAAGCTTTGTTTAATCAAGTATGAATTATGATATCACTGTGTTTATTATTTTCAATTGTTGCTTGTATACAAAAGTGGATTGCGCATTTCTGTACTGAAGGGGGATTATCAGAAAAAAAACATTGTGAAATAGACATTGCTATATTTGCACCCCCAAAGTATGAGTTTTGATCGTCGAATTTGCGCTCAAACTCAGGATTTACAGATCTTTAAAAAGTTTTATATGTCTCAAATGAATCCAAAAGAAGTTTTCCCACAACACTCCATACTCAGTTCAACTACCTTATATAGCCGGTCACTCCCTTTAATAAAACTTTGTCCCACCCTATTCATGAATAGTTCTTACAGTCCCTTTAATAAAACTTTGTCCCACCCTATTCATGAATAGTTTTTACAGTCCCTTTAACACAACTTTGTCCCACCCTATTCATGAATAGTTTTTACAGTCCCTTTACCACAACTTTGTCCCACCCTATTCATGAATAGTTTTTACAGTCCCTTTAACACAACTTTGTCCCACCCTTTTCATGAATAGTTTTTAAAGTCCCTTTAATAAAACTTTGTCCCACCCTATTCATGAATAGTTTTTACAGTCCCTTTAACACAACTTTGTTTCACCCTATTTATGAATAGTTTTTACAGTCCCTTTAATAAAACTTTGTCCCACCCTATTCATGAATAGTTTTTACAGTACCTTTTACAAAAAAAACTTTGTCCCCTCCTATTCATGAATAGTTTTATCTAAAGACTTGTTAACGACCTAATTGGTTTAATAGAATGGCATGTTCGGAGTAATTTAAGGCATTAATTACACACTCAGGGTAAACAAGGGTTATAAGGATTAATTACATAGTTTACAGACTGTAATAGACCAATTTAGACATTATTTCTAGATTTTGGTAATTAGTTTACACGTAACTACCTTAGATGGGGGGGGGGGGGGGTTTTTTCAAAACCAATTGTGTAATTTTGCTAAATTACAAAATGAAAATTTAACAGAAATTTTTATCATGTTCGTTTTATCTGACTAACAGTGAGAAATATAGTGTCCTTATTAAATCTGGAAAAGTATGAAATTCTGGCAATTTCCTTCTTTGCATATGCAGAATTCATAAATCCGTAAGTAATCCACAATTAATTTTTTAGTCATGTGACAAAATATATACAACTAAAGGAAAGGAATTGAGTTTTCTAACAGAATTCATAGTTTGAAATATCTAAGGTCTACGACATTGGATTGTAAAGATATCGGGATTAGAAAATCAGAGTTTGTGGCAAAGACTCAATTCCTTTGTATTCGGTCGTATCTAAAATCATAAAATGTTTTAAAGGTAGATAATTTTCTAAAGATTAAAATGATTCACAAATTGTTGTACAACAAATTGTGAATTACAACAACTTTCATTTTGAAAATCTATAAATTTTTTTTTTTGAAAGGAAAACATTATTTTATTTAGGTCTCGTGCGTGTTTTTGTTTACTATAGATATCATTGTACAAAACTTTATATTTGAAAAACAAAAGTTATATTTTAGAATTGTATGCAAATATCATATTTTCATAGATACATCATTCGAAAGTCAAAAAGTTCTTAAATTACGAAAATTTTATTCCAATGATAAATTTTCTTTACTATACAGTATATATCACGCGTGAACATAAAAATAGAAGGATGGGAAGGGGGCACGTCTCGATGAGGGGCTTCCCGGCCCCTGTCCCCCCCCCTTTCAAGCCGTGACTGACAATGTTTGAGATTGTACTCCTCTACGTTAAATATAAAATGATTTTCAAACTAAAAAGTTTTCAGCAAATATTAACTTTTTTACTCTCCTTATGGAGCCTTTAGACAAAATTTTACTACAATAAAACCTAATGGCGGGGGGGGGGATTCCCCTATCTATGGGAGGGATTCCCTTATCTATTTTGATCTTTTTCAAATTAGTTAACCTTAAAAAACCACTTACAATTAATTTTTTGATTTTTACAAGGTATTTGAAAAAAATATATTTCTAAATCAATATAATTCTAAATCAACATATTTCTAAATTGACATATTTCTAAATTGACATATTTCTAAATTAACTTATTTCTAAATCAATATAATTCTAAATCAACATATTTCTAAATCAACATATTTCCAAATTAACATTTTTCTAAATCAACATATTTCTAAATCAACATATTTCTAAATCAATATATTTCTAAATCAACACATTTCTAAATCAATATATTTCTAAATCAATATAATTCTAAATCAACATATTTCTAAATCAACATATTTCTAAATTGACAAATTTCTAAATTACCATATTTCGAAATCAACATATTTCTAAATCAACATATTTCTAAATTGACATATAATTCTAAATCAACATATTTCGAAATCAACATATTTCTAAATCAATATATTTCTAAATCAACACATTTCTAAATCAATATATTTCAAAATCAACATATTTCAAAATCAACATATTTCTATATCAACATATTTCTAAATCAACATATTTCTAAATTAGCCTTTTTTAGATTCCAGAGGTTGGGGAATAGAGGAGCAATATTTGAATTAGGTTAGTTCAAAATCAGTTCAAAATCAGTTCAAATTATGATTTAATAAATTTGTTGAAAAGGAATGCAGATTTATAATTCCAAGTAACACCTTGATTTAGAGTTCCATCCACGATTACCGAAGGTACCCTAAACAATGAGAAAGCTATCGCTTTCAAACCGTGCATAATTCTTCAAATTCTCTTCTTTATCTGTTCTGCATAAATGTGCAAGTGACGTGTACACAGAACCTCCAATCTGATCAGTTATTAGATAGAAAAACAAGAATATCTTGAAATGTTTGCTCCAAACTAAGTTTAAAAGGTATTATTGTGAATCGGTATTCAACTCTACTGCAAAGGGTCATATTCACTTCAAACTGCGCCAACAGTCCTATTAAAATATGTTTTAAAATAATCAATAAATATGAAAAAAATGAAAATTTTAAATAATTAATATTGAAATTTGAAACAATTTATTTTAGGGAGTCTAGCAACGAAGTCTTGAAAGTTGAAGAGAACTTCTTTAAATCATTAAAATCTTTTGAACAGAAATCTACCAAACATGGTTCAACGAAATAAAACAGTTTAAGAAATGGAACAAAAACTTTTAATATTTTTAGTTTTTCAAGGCATTGCATGCCGAACAAAGAAAACTGAGTTCTACAACAAACTTAAAATTTTCAAACCTTTGAAACCTGATGGTTTCAATCTTAGAGTTTGATTAGTATCTAACAGAATATTTAGTTAGAAATATCAAAGGTCTACGCGACATCTAGTTGCAAAGATAATGGGATTAGAAAATTTAAGTTTGAAGCATAAATTAACATAAAATAATTGAAGATTTAAGATCACCTATCAAAACATTTAAAAACATTGATATGAAATCTGTTATGGATTTCATATCTTGCATAAAAGAGGTTGGACAAGTTGATAAAATTCCTGAGTTGTCCTGAAGTAGTAAAATCAGGAAAAGCACAATGTATCTACCAAACTAAAGCAAATTCAAAAGTTTAAATGGCTAAAATTCTAATCTTAGTTTATAAAATAGTCAAGAATCAAAACCGTAATCACATTGCAAATAAATGTAAATATTAAGATGATAATTTAGAAAATTTAAAAAACTTTTTTTTCTTCTTTTTTCTGTGAACTAACTGTTCTTTGTTATTTTACCCATGAGGCTAGGAATTATAAAAGCACAGAACGATTAGTTCACAATTAATTAACAATTTTGTAAAAAATGTAGAACTGAAATGAAGTATTAAGTATCAAATTGTGTGCATATAGCAGCCTGGTTAAACAATTGTAGTAATAAAGGAAAAATAATGATGATAATATATAATGTAAACTATTTGAATAAAATATATATATATTCAGGCACGTTTATTTTTCATTACAAATCCAACTGTTAATACTAAAATAGACACCAAGAGGAGGTCATTACTAGTTCGACTTTGTGACCTCGTAGCTCCTCTAATAAGGGATTTTATTCAAATTTCTGTAATGTTTGATTATACACAAATGTTTTCCGTAGATTTTCGGAATATTTTTTGAAAAGACGACATTTGAAGATTTTAACAAAATCAGCAAACAAATTTCTTAAGATTTAAAATAATGATGATAAAGAAATGATTAATTTTACCGTTGAGTTTTTCACAAATTGTGATTAAGAAATGATTTCCTAGACAACGAATTTGTTACAATTTTTGTCCGGGTTATTGAATAATTGTATAAAAGCATTTCTTGTGCAGACAACACCTTGTAATGAAATTCTACAAACTTGCACTTATTAAACACAGTAAAAATATAATACCTAGCTCTTCAAACCTATCTGTGTGCATTAGTGTAACTGTAGCCAACTTTTCCGTTTACATATTAGGAACCTAAATCACTGTAGTTGTTCAGTAATAGGATTTAAGTTTGAGCATTGATTGCATTAAGTGATCTAGTGAGATTATTCGCCCAGATTGTAGTAAATGTAAACTTGACTTTTAGGTTGAGAATCAGGATATATAATCAGGACATAACATAGATAGGACAATTCATAAATTTGACATCTCATAGACAGAACATTTCTAAAGACAGGACATTTCTAAAGACGGGACATTTCTATAGACAGGACATTTCTAAAGACAGGACATTTCTATAGACAGGACATATCATAAACGGGGGATTTAATATACAGGACATTGTATAGTCAGGACATTTCCTAAACAGGACATTTTTAAAGACAGTACATTTCTATAGACAGGACATTTCTATAGACAGGACATTTCTATAGACAGGACATTTCTATAGACAGGACTTTTCTAAAGACAGGATATTTCTATCGACTGGACATATCATAAACGGGGATTTTATAGACAGGACATTTCCTAGACCGGACATTTCTAAAGAAAGGACATTTCTAAAGAAAGGACATTTGTAAAGACAGGACATATCAGACACAAGATATTTCATACACAGGACATTTCTGAAGACAGGAGATATAATATACAGAGTATTTTATGGACAGGACATTTTACAGACAGGACATATCATAGACAGAACATTATATAGAAAGGACATTTTATAACCAGGATATTTCATACACAGGACATTTTAAGGACAGACTAAGTTTGTCACGGATTATTTTTTCAAAATACATAATATTTTTCGATATTCACGTACACTGTTTTTCTTGTTGATATCTTAGTAGGTCAAGCACCTAACACACACTGCGTAACACTATTTACGTTCTCTTTTGTTTTTATAAATCTAAGATTCATGATTTTTTAAATGAAAAATGCTACTTTTTTATGAAAATTCTTATCTGTCTATGAAATATTGTCTATGAAACTTCTTATCTATGAAATGTTCCATTTATGAAATGTTCTATGAAATGTCCTATTTATTAAATGTCCCATTTCTAAAATATCCCAATAATGAAATGTCCCATTTATACAATGTTCCATTTATGAAATATCCCATTTATGCAATGTCCGGTTAATGCACTGTCCCGTTTATGAAATATCCCATTTATACAATATCCCAATTATGCAATGTCCCATTTATTCAATGTCCCATTTCTAAAATATCCCAATAATGAAATGTCCCATTTATACAATGTTCCATTTATGAAATATCCCATTTATGCAATGTCCGGTTTATGCATTGTCCCATTTATGAAATATCCCATTTATACAATATCCCATTTACGCAATGTCCCATTTCAGAAATATCACATTTGTGCTATGTCTTATTTATGCAATGTCCTATTTCTGAAATATCCAATCTATGCAATGTCCCATTTATGAAATATCCCATCTCTGCAATGTCCCATTTATGCCATGTACCATTTATGAAATATCTTTTTTATGAAATCTCCCAACTATTCAATATGTCCCATTTATGAAATGTCCCAACTATTCAATATGTCCCATTTATGAAATGTCCCAACCATTCAATATGTCCCATTTATGAAATGTCCCAACTATTCAATATGTCCCATTTATGAAATGTCCCATCTACACATGATCCCATCTATGATATTTTATCTGTAGAATGTCTCAACACCGGCATAACGTCGGCGTAGTTAAGTCAATGAAAAAATTGGTTGTCAGCAGTTAGTAATATTTATTTTAACAACAATTACAAGTTTACAGAAGTAACTAGTTAACCCAGCCTCTGTTTAAGTAGCTGCTTCTGTTCATAATATTTGAAACCTCGCAAAACAATTCTGAGAAAATCCACGAAATTTGATGTATTGCAATGGTGACACAGTGACAGGCATGATCTATCTCTGAATTTACAATTTTATACAATCAGTGTTTTTCAATCAAAATCACATTAATATGGATTTCTTAACATTTTTAAATAAAATTTTTCACATATATTTATACTAAACAAATTAAACATTTAATTTTCCTGATATAATAATGATGATCCTTGATTATATTCCTAAAATAAAAATTATAATGATTATTTTTTCGGAAAAATATTTTTTTTTTCAATTTTCCGAAAGGACCGTCAACAAAGGAAGATAATATAAAGAATAAATTGGAGAAAATTAAAACGACAAGAATGATTAAAATAATTTTTTTTTGATTGATGTGAACCCAATAATTTTAAATTTAAATTTTAAGATAAAATATGCGCGTAATTTAAAGAGATCCAACGTGCACAGAGCTTCAAATCATCAAATGTACCGTTTTGAACCTTTGACTGATCAGCGAAAGGAGATAAACTCAGTTTGTAAATCTCTCAAATGGTGAATAAATTGCAGTACAACTATGCTAGTAAACTCAACTCAGCTGACGTTGCATATATGTATTTCTTGAAAATCCCGAATATTCTATGCAGTGCACAAAATGACCGATTGTACAGTTACAAGAAAAGAGGTAAAGATGTGATATATGTATACTATAGCTCCTATTAAAGTCTCAGGAAGAGGTATCTGATATATCGCAATGCATGCTCGTTAAAGGAAACATCCTATCGTTTAATTTATCTCAAGGGGTATCCTTTCCAGAGAAGTTAAATCTTATATAGATCTATCCTTAACTCTTTTGTTGTTATTGTTATTGTACAATCTGTCAATGTTTGCAGTGTTACCAACACAGTTTTAAAGGATTCCTTGATAAGTTAAAGGCTTAAATGGTACTGCAGTGTTACCAACACAGTGTTAAAGGATTCCTTAATTAGTTAAAGGCTTAAATGGTACTGCAGTGTTACCAACACAGTTTTAAAGGATTCCTTGATAAGTTAAAGGCTTAAATGGTACTGCAGTGTTACCAACACAGTATTAAAGGATTCCTTGATTAGTTAAAGGCTTAAATGGTACTGTCGTAAATCGGAAACTCAAATGGAGGAGGAGCAATAAAAATTAAGCCTACAGTACCAGAGCTGGGAACCTTAGAATGGATATCCTTTAATTCCAATTACTTAATCTGAATATCCACTGTGGAAACTTTTAATTTCAGTCCTTATTCTTCTCTTTTTCTATCTCTTTTGATATCCAACATTGTTTTCTCCAATGAGAGTGCAGGAATATACTTCTTAAATTGTATTGACCAATGACAGCCTTGAAAATGAATTCTATCCCATGAGAGAAATCCGCAATTTCTAACAAATAAAGAATATGTTGTCGGCCATTTTGTAAATTAATCGGTGAAGAAAAATATTTAATAATACGTTTGAGATTCTTTTTTAACCAATCTTAATTAATGTATTACTATATAAATGGATGAGAAATTATGTGATGGTCCTTTCAATCAAGAAAACGAACAAATCTGGCTTTCTTAGAATCAAATTTGTTGATCTATATATTTAATCTCAAGACTAACATAATCTCGAGATTATATTAGTCTCGAGATTAGCAAAAAGAGAGGATTAAGCATTGATCTCGATATCCACCATTCTAAAGTTCCCAGCTCAGGGCAGATTCTTTGAACTGAATCTTATCTGGGTGTTACAATTTTCGACATTTTTAATAAAATATACGCGTATCAACGGTGGGCGAAGCACTCTGAATTTAATAGTTGACCTGTAATGATTCTTTAACATCTCTTGATCCAATAAGTTTTTGATTAATGTTTGAAGCCTAGCATTACTCCTGAATATTACTAAGATTAATATGTTTTACGAGAAACTTTTTTGTTTATTAGATTAAGCTTACTCTTGGATGTTAAAGGAACTGTAAGCGTAATTTCAAGATGGAATTGCCTGGTTTACAAAGGTGCCTTTAAAAACTGAACAAATAATTATGAAACAATAAAAAAAATAACAATGTCTCAGTTTCTTTTTGTTGTTTATTTTCATTTGCGGGTTCTCTACGAAAGTGACTTGCGCATGCCATACTTATAAAAAGAGTTGGTGAAAATATCCGAATTACACACTTTTCGAGTCAGAAAACAACGTTATCTTCAACACAATGGTTTCAAGGGGACCGTTGAAATTAGGGCAGTGTCATCTTTTGAGTACATGAAAACTTTTTTACTTCACAATCAAATCAAACAAAAATCAGGCATTTATGAATATTGTGTGAAAGCCCGGTTTTAGGCCTAAGAAATAGGCCATCACTAGTATTTAGAAAGAAAAAAATGTTCACTTCTCTGAACTTAAAGTACAGAAAGGAACCGAGTCTTTGACACAAACTAATCCCTTTATCTGGCAACCAAATGTCGCACTTTCTAAATAATTTAAACTATGAATTCTGTTAGATCAAATAATTTAACTTTATAATATCAAAGGTTTACACCACCAGGTTGCAAAGATCGAGGGACAATAAACTTTAAGTTTGCGGAAAAGACCCAGTTCCTTTGTCATAGAAAACCTCTCAGTACGGACAAAAATGTGGATAAAAAGTTTAAGTTTTGAACAAAAAGTTGAAAAATAAACATTGCTTGGGAAAAATGGAAACAAAGAGCTTAAAAGTTTTTACAGGTTTCTAAAGTTTAGAGAATTTACTTTTTCTACGAACAATTTAATTTTGCCGATATTTTAAAAACAACGCAAAAAGATTGAGATTGGTTGAATTCTGCATTTGAGTAAAGTTATGCTGAACAATGAACAAATTAGTTATTGTAATCCAAAACCCAGAAAACGGAATTAGAGTCGAAAACGATTTTTACTTTGTGAAATAGTAAATTGTAGAGATATAAGATCAAAAAAAAGTCTGGGACATTTTTTCTACCTTTGTGTCATTCCCGTAGGATATGAAGTCTTCGGCGTTCTTGCTGAAATCTCAATTGATTCACAACAAATTCAAAAAATGAATAAAAATCTTTTTATTAATAATAAAACATTATATAATTTGTTTTTTTAAGTGAAGTTGTTTTCTTTTGTTTCAGTCTCTTGTTGAATTTACGCAAACAAAACAAAAAAATTAATTTTGAATTTGATGAATTTAAAGGGTATTATTATTAAAAGTAGGATTTAAAATAATTGGATACTTCATATAAAATCCCATATTCTCGGATTTAAAATCAGATTTATATAAAAAATTGATGCTTGCAATAATTAAAGTTTTAACCCCCCCCCCCCCTCCCCACCTCCCGTCATCCATGTCGATTATGTAATACATTGTCTTTGTTTTTGAAAGGAAGCTCATCGAAATAAATATCTAAAAGTTAAAAATTTGTAATCTATATTTTAAGACAAAAATGTCTCATGCAGTCTTTTAAGGAATAGACATTTGGATTATATATTTCAAAATAATTGGACCCCGTTAAAGAAACTTTATAATCAGCAAATTTTCCAATCAATTATTCCTTTCGGCGGCCACAGGTAGGACTGACCGGCTCTGACGGAACAGATTTTCCAGGTTGTCACTTCTCATTTGCCGGAACAGATTTCCTGTATCCAGGGGTTATAAAGAAGGAGGGGGAGGGGGGGACAGTAACAAATTATTGGTCTACTGTAAGAATGAAAAGCTTGTTTTGAACTGCTAAACGAAAGGATAAATGTAAATTTTAACGAAAAAAAATTGCCCTAGATATTTTGTCAGTATACACCCTTTCCTGTATCCACCGTACTTCTACTTTGACGGAAAAAGTTCTCCTGTGGTTAGAGATAAGCATCGTTTTTTGAACAAACGAAATTTTTCAGAACAAACGTAAGTTTTCGTGAAAAAGCTGTCGTTTAAATAAAAAACGAACTTTGGAAGAACGAAATGAAAAATTATCGATTTTAGATTTTAGAAACAAACATTTAAAAAAAACTGTAGTGTTTTTGAACAAATTTTGGAAAGCAACTATGGTTTTTTTTAATACTGCGACCTATTTTATTGAACAAACGATTCTACTGAAAGACGATTTTACTGAAAAATCGTTCAGTGATAAAAGAACGAAATAGATAGAACGATAATTTTAATAACAAACGAAATCATTTTTTAACTAGTGAAAAATCAAACGAAATGAGTTGTTCACGAACAATTAACGAACGTAATAAAAGTCGAATATACCCATCTCTACCTGAGGGGATCTTCCCAGCCGCATCATTCCGTTTAATGATCTACTCTGACGGAATAAATTGTCGGCTCTGCTTTGTCGGAAAACATTTTCGTTTGCGGAACGGCTTTGACGGAACATGTTGCCTGATCGGCTTTGCCGGAATATATTGTTGGAACGGCTTTGACGGGAAAAATTATCTTGGTCGGAGTCTTGTTCCCTAAAAATAAGGATTATATTAATTCAAAACCAAACGAAATTTACTCTTTTGTTCTTGAAAATCTTGTTTGAAATGGCAACAAATCAGAACTTTTGTAATTGAAGAGGTATTGAAAAGAACAAAAAACTGAAATTAAATTAAAATTAAATTAAAACTGAATGAGCTATAAGGTTACAAAAGCGTACTAGTAATTTGACCAATTTAATTGCAGTTTGATTTGCATGGTGCCTGGTTTCGAAATAATATAATTTTTATTTGAAAAATCTTTTAAATCATTAATTTTTGCGGTCTCTATTGACATATAATCAATCCAAAAAAGGGAACAATAAAAATATGGATTAGTATTCTTTTTAGAGATACTATGTTTTAGGGCATTTCGCGCTCCTCTTCATTTTTTTGCGTATTTTATAAGAATTTGACAATTGAGGTACTGCACAAAATTTGGACCCTGATCGGTTCATCTGTTTATAAAGTTTATTGGATACAAAGACACGTGGACTTATCGGTTCTGTCAATATTACTGAAAGCTGTGACTTTCGATCACAATTTGACCCATTAAACACAATTTTTTTTACCCTTTTTTAAAAATACTTTTTTTGTTGGCATATACATTTTGAATGAAAAAGTATAGAATTGATACATCCTTAAGTTAAGATTGTGAATTATAGACCAAAGCACGTTTTATTTCAAATAGAAGAAACCAAACTCTGGTTAGGCCGGGGTAAAGGGACAAAAAAACAGACAGACAATCAATATATATATATAGATTTATAATTCAATATTTTACCTCGAGTTTCTAATCGCCTTTATATAATCATCATCCTTTAGTAATTTATTGAGAAGTACCTCTAACTCCCTTCAAAACATTTAAACTTTATATAACCATCATCCTTTAGTAATTTATTGAGAAGTTTTTAGCAAAATTTCGCTTCAATTTGTTTCGTGATAAGATGCGAAAATTTCGCGAAAAAATGCGAACAAATCGCGAAAAAATAATACAAAAATTTCGCAACAAAAATAATGCGAAAATTTCGTTAATAAATAATGGAAAAATTTCGCGAAAAAAATGCTGCGAAATTTCGCGAAAAAATAATGCAAATATTAAAAATTGAAACAGAAACTAAAATTGATAGCGAGTGAAATATTTTCGCGAAATTTTCGCATTTCGAATTTTAGCGAAAACAAATTTCTCAAAATATTTTTTCGCGAAATTTTGCATCGTTTTTGCTTCATTTATTTTCGATTAAAAATGCGAAATTTCGTGAAAAAAATTGCAAAATGCGACCGAAAATTTTGCATTTTTTCGCGAAACTTTTCGTTCCCTATAGAAACCCTTATTGTAAACGACAAAAATTATTATAAAAAAAAGTAGGATAATAAAAAATAGATATTGGCCAAAAAATATGAATGAAAATAAACAAATCATAAAAACAAAAAAAAACTTTTAAAAAAATAATTTTTTGAGATAAATACCTGTCAAAGTTCATAAAAGAGAAGTCTCCTAGAACAAAAAAGAATGTGAATTTTCTAGAGAATGTTCCACACGTCAAAATTAAACCAAGATTTATGCAAGGAAGTAAATGTAAGGAAAGTTATTTCAGAAGTGTACACATCTTTTGTGCTGCAGTGTACTGTCTCTGAGGTCGAAATTTATCGTTGAACAAAACTACCGAGTTTCCTTTTTGGGGTCTTTACTTTTGTGTAGATTTTGATTTAAGAGATTCGAAAAAAATGCATAATATAAAAAAACTGAAGAAATAATGTCATTACAAAAATATTGATAATCACAAAAGTGCCTAACCCCATTCGTGAAACCCGGGGTTTAAAACTGGTTTTACTAACGATACTCTGTCTTAAGTTTTGGGCTCTGGGCGGTAATGTAAACAAACACAAGACGGATATCAAAGCCCGATATGGGATCCATCTTTCACATAAAAAAAATCAATGAAATATTCTGGTCATAGGAAACTATTATGTGAATTATCAAAAATATCAAAATTTAATGCTTTTAACTTCCTCGGGATACAAAACGAACACTGATGCATCTATTCTTGTTCACAAATTCCGCCCAAAGAGAACTGGTTTCAATATGTACGCAAAGTATACACGACCGCAATTAACTTTCCTTGCATTACACCCTTGGATTTATGGAAATTGAGTGACAACAGTGGTTTTCAGATTTCCATAGTGAAAAAAAACTTTCAAAGGAATTGAGTCTTTGTCACTAACTCAAATTTTTAAATTTCTATATCTTTCCAACCTGATGCTGGAAGCCTTTGATTTATAGTAAACTTCGACTAGTTTATTTAACAGACGACATTGGGTTGCAAAAAATTAGAAAATCAGAGTTTGCAGCATGAAGAATCTATTTTTTAAAAAGAAAAAAGTAAATGTTTTGCAAGCTATCCTAAATGTGCTTAATCGCATTTATATCTATCGCAAATTCGATTTAGAAAATTAATCAATTTAGGTTATAATGCATAGCATGTCTGCCAATTCTGAAGATACAAGCATACCACATTTTATAAATCCCAATCTAAATATTTATCATAAGTAAAATTCTTTTAATGAATAAGGACCTTGGCATTTACAAAAGAAGGCTATCGCTCTGATCAAAGACAAACTATATATTTGTTACTTTTGCATCTTTTAAAAATATTTTTCTTCCTACCTGACAAAATAGCATTATGGATGTCGGCTTCGTTGTAGGTTGTCTCAGGTTCGTGAACCTCGATACCAGAGCCTAAATAACATTGATTTTATAAAAGATATTACAAAATAGATAAATAAATAGTTTGTTAACTTTAGTTCAGTTGCACCACCCCCCCCGTGCTGCATAAAGTAAAAAAGGCGGGGCACTGCTCCCCTTGCTCCCCCCATGAATATGCCTCAGCAGTATACAATACAGTCGTCCTGGAATATATTAATACTATAAATTCAAGGGGCTTCGCGCCCTTCTTTCTAGGCTTTTAGGGCGCTTCGCGCCCATCTTCTAAATCAATTGTGAACATGTTCTCTTTGTGCACATCGTAAAACAAAACAAAAACAATTCGCGGATTTTTACAAAAAATTTCGTGGATTTTCAAAATTTTCAAAAATTTAATGAAGATCGAATTTTGATGGAGACAAATATTTAAAATTTCAATCATTCATAAACCTTCCCTGGGGTCCCTAGATGTCCCACAAAAATTTGGGCCCGATCGGTTCAGCCGTTTTGACGATTATTGGATACAAACAGACAGACAGACAAACAGACAGACAAGCCAAATTTATACATAGATAAAATGGCGACGACTTTCTATTTAAATATTTGATTTCTACACCAAGCTTTTAAACAACATAGACACACAAAAATATGGACATGGACAATGGAGAGCTTCTCGTTGTGTACTTGTAAAAGTGTGTGAAAATGGCGTGTTAGAAATCAAAACTGAAATAGAAAAGTCGTTTTTATTGTATTGATAAAACGCCGACTACTGTACCTCGTTTTCCCATCATTCTAAGCTGTTCCTGTTGTTTCAGAAGAGTCAAGCAAACACTAAACCCAATAGATCGAACCCCCTCTCCACATAGCTCTCTATATAGATAAATCACAGTTAGTTAGATAGACCACCCCGGACTAACCAGAGTGAGACGCGTTCGGTTTCTTCTATTTGAAGTTTTGGTCTATAATTAAACAATCTTTAAACTAACGGATTTGTTACTGTTAGTCTTATACTTTTGATTCAAAAAGTGTATGCCGGCAAAAAAGTATAAAAGAAGAAAGGCTAAAAAGCTATGTTTAATAGGTCAAATTGTGATTGAAAGATTCTGGAATATTGACAGAACCGTTAAATCCACGTGAGACAGTAGAGGAAGGACAAACATACTGGTACAGTTTTGTGACCTCGTCGCTTCACAACTCATGAGTTTAAGTTAGAGAACAGAAAATCTATCTGGTAAGATAAAATTTTAGTCTAAAATCATTTTTTTTCTCATTAGCTTTTTTCATAAAAGAAGTTTTGGTGTATTGACAATTTATCAAAATATTTCTTAATTTGCTAGAAGCGAGAAAATTAGAACAAACATTTTTCAATATTAAACGCTAAGTAATTCTTAAAGGGATTGTTAGCGTAATTTCACAGTGACCCTCCTAACAATTACGGCAATGCCCTAGAAACAAACGCCCTTCAAAATTTAAACTGATCAATAATGTGGAAATACTGTCGGTTTTCCAGGTTTAAAAGTGTAATTCTGATTTTTCTTATATGTTTTCCTGTAGTAGAAATGCGCATTTCACTCTAGTTAAAAAACTACGATAGAAATCAACAATTTTGAAAATTATAAATAATCTTATTCAAACTTGAGCAGATAAAACTTTGCATGGATGAAGGGTTAACTAGAATTAAAATTTAATAAAAATTATCTTTTCTACAGGTAAACCTTATACATTATTCTTAAAATCTTTTATATGATAAGTGATAGACGTACAAATAGATAGAAAATAGAATAGATAGATATTGCAAAAAATCATTACCTCAATATTTTAAATCTATCCCGCTTCTCGAACTGGTCCTACAAAGTTTAAAAAGAGAATTTTTTATAAAACAGCATCTTTTTAATTTTAATAATCTTTTATTTAAAAAACCACCAAATTTAAGTCAAGAGAAAACAGTCAAGAGAAAAGGAAAAAAGATGATTTGTTATCATAAAATGATGCAGCTTTTTGCATTATAAAGAGAAATTTTAAAAACAGGAGTATAAACCATGATCGAATATGAAACTGTTTATGAAAATATATTTAAAAACAGCAGTATAAACCATGATCGAATATATGAATGTGTTCATGAAAAAGTATTTAAAAACAGCAGTATAAACCATGATCGAATATGAAACTGTTCATGAAAATATATTTAAAAACAGCAGTATAAACCATGATCGAATATATGAAACTGTTCATGAAAAAGTATTTAAAAACAGCAGTATAAACCATGATCGAATATGAAACTTTTCATGAAAATGTATTTAAAAACAGGTGTATAAACCATGATCGAATATAAACTGTTCATGAAAATGTATTTAAAAAACTGCTCACCCTATTACAGTATGCAGTTGCTAAGATGAAGAAAAATAACAGGTTTTCCTAGAAGTAAATTATTGAAATTAGTCTTAACACTCTTAATTATCTAGATCAGAAGAACGACTAGATAATGAGAATACACTTTAAATTTCGCTTCGTCTAAAAAAAATAAGCTATAAACATTTTTTATCATCAATCATTTAACAAATTTAGCAGTAAATTGAAACTTTCAAACATGTTGCTTTATATGTGTAAAACAATAGAAAACGTTATTTAAAATGTGGCAAATACATAATTAAGTCAAAGTTAAATAAACTTACTTTAAGAAAATATACATTGAAATATTTAAAATAGATATGGTCATTTAATTCATTTGCGCTTAAAATTTTCCAAAAATTGTTTAACGCATATCTTAAATTGTTAATTGTATGACCAATACACAATTTCATCCACAGATTGTTTGCAATTTTTATTATCTATAATTTGCAAAAATTTAAAAAAGGAATTGAGTCTTTTCCACAAACAGGATGCAAAGAAATATGATTTTGAAAATTTTAGTTTGTAGCAAAGAGTTAATTTTTACTAATCCTACAACACTTTTTATGTTACATTGTTAGAATGCCAAGACTATTTTACAAATGTTTCATGGTGAAACAAATATCATTAGCGGAAACTATATTCCTAATTTCTTAAATATAAATTACAATGCTATGTATTTTCATTATCTTGCGTATAAGTATCTTTTGACCATTGATTAATAACAATATAGATAGAACACTATAAGATGTCTTTTGTTCACAATAACCCTGAGGCCGAAGCCTCATGCCGCGTGGAATTACACGAAATTGAGCGTGCATGCTCGTAACTACTTTGTGCTTCTGCCTCTGGGTTATTGTGAACGAAAAACCTCTAAATCTTGAAAAGACGACGTCTAGTGTTCTAACTGGACTGTTATTAATATATGATTTGAACTGTGGATTAGCAGTGAGACCATTTAAACTAGAATAAGAAGACACAAATTCAGCAATCGTATTTGATATTGGATGTACTACAGTGATAACCAGAAAACTCTGGAATAGAAAGACGACTTTTAAACTCAAATTATAACTTTAGATAGTCCAATAAGCCCGGGAAACAGAAATTGTTCAGTGTAAACAGACCCATTTCACTTGATTTGTGATTTAATAGGTGTCCAGTAGAACTATTTTCTTTATTACAACATCAAATACACTTCTTTATTGCTATAAAGCCGTCTTACTATTTCGGAGTGTTCAGGTCATGACTGTATATAAAATGCACATTTACTGTCTTTTCATTGAACTATTCAAAATCATATGTTTTGTCTAACAGTCGTTTTAGGCCTCACTGTACAGAGAATCTTTTTACCTTGATGAACATACTTTGATTGACATAATACTCATGTTCCAGTCTTCTTTTATACGAAATACCTCCCCCCCCCTCCTTTTCCCCTCCCTTTTTTCTTTGACACCCCCCCCCCTTCGTTCCCCCTTAGTATTCCATATTCAGACCCATGCAAGGGAATATAGTAATCTAATTTTCATATATTATTTTTTGGCAAGAATAAATATCCCTGATTTTTAATTGAATAAAAGTCAAAAATGCGGGAAAGATAAAACTTTTTGAAAAGTTTCTTCTATTTTCTTCATGTGGGATCAATTACAAAGTGCGACTGCGGGCGTATGAATGGTTTTTAGATTAATGAATTCATATTCATATATATATATCTCTATAAAACCTTAAAAAACCATTAATCTACAAGGTTACCCACAAATGATGAGACTTCAGAGTCAATTGTACGGAATTTATCCTTACACCATTCCCATCAACTTATTTCTATATTTGTCCAATTTTATATATATAAGCCATTAGATTACTATAGCTGAAGCCGAATACTTTAACCATGGGATCGTCGCATTTTAAGAGTTTTCAGTCGTCTTTACTCCTCTCATCCTTTGTGGGAAACCCTGTATTTTATGTTTATGTATTATTGTTAACCATAAACCTTAAAACCTTTCTCCGTAAAATGTCGTCTTTAATCAAATAATACCCCGGAACCAAACCCAACCTTTTCTCCGGTAAATAGAAACAACTTTTGAAAAGTGAAAAACGTTTTAATATGGTAAATGCTTAAAATCCGTGATTTTTGCTGTTTTGTTCTAATCACTAGACCCCCTCATTTTCTGCTACTGCCAGCATAAAGTAAGAACTTTTAAAAATCAAACATTGTTCACAATTAAATATTTCAACGATTTATTTTTAAACTGTTATAGAGGACGTGAGTCAGACATAAAAACGCATAAATAACTTCCAGTATATATATTTCTTATAACTTATTACTAGAGGGTTCAGAACTAGAGTCAATATCGATATCACACGTGTAGATGATTTATCAGTACTATGCCCCGTATCCGTTCTATCTCATTCTGTTGAATCCTGTGGAACTTGTTTAACGCGGCCAGGCATCGTCTTCCACACTGTACTTAATTTTAGTTTAGAAATAAACTTCATTGAGCATAGACTATTGATTAGTAGTGGAAATTGGGAAAACTAACCTGATAACTATAGACGCCCTAGGAACCATACCTTAAGAAAATAAATCTCCGGGGAAACCAACCTGAGACCTATAGACGCCCTAGGAACCATAACTTAAGAAAATAAATCTCCGGGGAAACCAACCTGAGAAATATAGACGCCCTGGGGACCATGCTTGAGAAAACTGATCTCCGTACAGGGAAACCAACCTTTGATAAACCACGAGGCCTTCTTTAGCTCAATTTTTATAGTCCTATTATTGTCAGTTCATTTATATAAATGTATACAGCTAAAGTTAGAAGGCAATCCTTGACGAGGGGAGGAAGGCAAGCCAAAACAATTACTCGTCTGAACCACATTCTCCTGATTTTCTCACTCAAGCCACCTCGAAATCCTCGTCCTTCCATTATTATTATTTTAAATGTCCAGCCCTTGAAGCCTAACTTTCATAATTCATAAATTACATCGAAGGATTTAAAAAAATTTTAATTCAAATATTTGTTTTTAAAAACAGTTTAAGTTTAACGTTCTATATGAATTGCAAACATACAGGGTGGCGTTTCATCCTCTTCTTCTAAAATGCTGGAGATTCCAGTATTTTAGAAGGATTTTCTAAATATAAGGGTGCCCCCCCTAGTTGCTCCTCTGTTCACCACGGACACGCCTCAAAAACAACTTTTTATTTCGGGAAATCCCTCAAATCTTGAAATCGAAAAAAAAACATTAAACGTGAAAAAATGAAAACTCCAACGTCAAAACTGTCTAGGAATATATACAAACTGTTAAGACGTAGAATTGGCCAAGAGCAAGGATACAGGGTGTCCCACATCAAATTAGATCGTGTATAGCTCAACATTTATGAATTTTGGGACTAATCAGAAATAAAAATAAAATATTTTTAAAAATGCAAATCTTTCTATCAAAGTGTTCTTGCAGAAAATACTAGGTTTTTCCAGTTTTCTTTGCGCATTTTGATATGGGAAGCTCTGTATATAATTGCCTATCTTTTATATGAATCTAGTTACTAGGTGACTCCCCGACGTTTCGTTGTATTTTGAAGTGACTTAGTACATGCATGATTGTTAACAGCGCGCCGGTAATTCGAGAACGTTGTAGATATAATCGTTTTCTAACTTAGGGTAACCTTGTGAATAAGACATTTATCTCTATAAATACTTTTACAAACAAGAAAAATGTTAAAGGATTCGCCAACGGTAATGATGGAGGGGGGGGGGGTTGTAAGTCGGGAATAGGGGGAAGAAGTTCAAAAGGTATAGAAGAGAGAGCTAGGGGGGATATATAGGGGAAGCAGGGGGAATAGATATCTATAGAATAAACTATTGATAAAACATGAACTACTGTTAAAATATTTTCCATAGTATTCGCAGTTTAGGAAAGCCTTTGAAACAGTGAAATCCATTTTAATGGCGAAATTATCTCTGAATTATGTAATTTATGAATCAGTAATAACATAAGAGTTTAGAAGAAATTTAATATTGTGAATTGAACGTCGACTTGCCTTACTTTTACTTAAAGGGAGTGTTCGCGAAAAATGAAATGGGGTATAGGCTTAATGCGATAAAAAAGCGCTTTTGATCGCTACTAATCTTAAATCTATCTGTTGCGTCTATAAGGAGAAAATTGATAAAGACATCTCATACCGAAGAGCGTAGCACCCATACAAATTGAGGAAGTTGGAACATAGGACTTAGACCGTAAAAAAATCAAATTAATATCAAACAAATCATTCAGATATTACAATATATAGTCATCGATTATCTTTCGCCACATTTGTATATATTTGATAATTCATACTAGTTTTGATTTTGTTTTTTAAAATAACATTTAGCTTCCAACTTGTTTTCGAACATACCTGGAAAATATGAAAATGTCGTCTTCATTCCCAAAAATCATCGAAACAGGAATAAACGTTTTTATAAGTAACTTTCAGAGCATAACAATTAAAACATATTATGAAAAATTAACAATATACAAATGTGGCGAAAGATAATCGATGTTTATAGGTTGTAATATCTGAATGATTTGTTTGAAATTAAATTGATTTTTTTACGGTCTAAGTCGTATGTAGCCTATACCCCCTTTCATTTTTCATGAACACTCCCTTTAAGGAATGTTCTATGATTTGCATCATGTTTACAAAAAATGTCTTTAGTCGCTATAAAGACACGTATTTTATTGCAAATTTGAAAAAATAACCATGTATTATTTTTTGACATTTGTTGTTAAATATATTTAGTTTGAATTTAAATTTTTCAGAGGGTTTTAGACATTATTTTGTTGAAAACAATGCAAGGTAATATAAACTATAACTGTGACGTATCCGGATTTTAAAAAAATCAGATACAAATAACGGTTCACATTTTCAAGATGGTTTTGCCTTTCAAAACGCAAAGATCAACACTTTTAAACTTATATAGTGCTCAGTCGCCGCCCCCCTCCCCTCCTCATTTCTTAGACCTAAAGTAGTCATCCGTCTTGAAGTTGCAAGCTTTCACTGTAAAATCAATGAGAATTTTGCTTCTAATCTAATTTTCTATTCTAATCTAAAGCTAAAAACAAGTGTTTTGCAGTTTTAAAGTTTTCATCTTTATTGCTGTGTAACAATAACTATTTATGACACTGTTATTTTGGTTCGCAGTGTTATAAAGCTTTTGGACAGAAATTTTCTCTTTATCGAGAAGGTTCAACCCTTTTTAGATTAAATTTTGTCCCGAGCAAAATATCCCGAGGGACAAATATTCTATTGAAAAAAAATATTTTTGAAATATCCTAATTTTTTTGGAGAAAATCCGGGAACCAATCAAAACTTTTTAGCACACGTGCTATAGTGTACAGCTAATTTAATTTTATAGCACGATGGTTACTTTATAGCACGTTCATTATGAAATTCACGATAAAGAAGAATGATAAATTACATAAAAGTTTCATAAAGTTTTTTTTTAACTTAGTGACATAAAAATCAATGGACAAGTCGTTGTTGACCTTTAAAGTCGACCCAGTCTTGAAATTAGTTTTTTTTTTGTAGCAGTTTATATCTATTTGAACCCATTTCTTCCATATATTTTCTTCAATTGCCAGCTAAATAATTTGCTGAATCTTTCAATAAAAAGAGATTACAGCAAAAACTGAAAATTTAGATCCGGACATCGAAGAGGTTTTACGAGCTGCAGGGATTAGCGCCCATCTTCTTTTTCAGTTGTAAACATTTTCGCTATGTAAACATTGTAAACAAAATCAAACACAAAGTTTGCGGATTTTCTAAAATAAAATCTTGGATTTTCAAAATTTAGAGGAAATTGAATTTTGATGGAGGCAAAATTTTTTTAACTTTGATTATTCAGGAACCTTCCCTAGGGTCACGTTAAGTCGCACACAAAATTTGGGCCCGATCGGTACAGCGATTTTGACGTTTATTCGATACAAACAGACAGAAAACAAACAGAGATTCAAAGTTTATTTACAGAATACTATTCAATTACTTGTATTAAAGTGCAAAATTTCCAAGTTTTTTGTCTTTTGATGATAATGATAATAATATATAATAATAATGATAATGATAATAATATATAATAATATATAATGATAATGATAATGATAATGATAATGATATATAATGATAATAATAATGAAAATGAAAATGATAACATGATAAAGATGATGATAATGATTCTTATGTTTGTAGTCCCCCCATCTGCACCAGCTCAGCGGAGAATTCATTAGTTAATCTAACTCCAGCAGAATATCTAGTTGTTAAACGATTCAACAGGTTTCAGGTACAGGGTAACCCATAGAGAATGAGAAAGTAAAAACGGCCTAAAACTTTTAAAATATGACCATTCCAAGGTTAAATTAAGTCAAGATCACCATGATCATGATCATCATCAACATAATCCTCATCATGATCATCATGATCATCATGATCATCATCATGATCATCATGATCATCATCATGATCATCATGATCATCATCATGATCATCATCATGATCATCATGATCATGATCATCATCAACATAATCCTCAACATCATCATCATCATCATCATCATCATCATCAGCATCGTCATCATCGTCATCATTGTCATCATAATCATTATCATCATCATCATCCTTATCATTATCATCATTATCATCATTAGCATCATCATCATCATCTTCATCATTAAATGATTAAAGAAAATAAAGTAATTTTCCAGTTGTAGGGAATTGTGAATAAAAAAACTGAGAGTATAGATTCGTCCCCTATGTGGGTAACCCTGTATGTTTGCACAAATCGATGAGAATTTTGCCAATTACTTCTTAAACACTAAAATGGAATAAAATGCGTTTAAAGTTCTAAAATGAAGTGCAGAAAAGTACATGTAAGTTAATGAGGCAATTTCATAACAGTCTGATATTACGTGGGAAGGGATTGGTATGTATATCTATATGTAGTAAGTAGCTTTACAAAAAGTTCTGGAACGAATGTTTTTTTAATTGTTGATAATTAACAGAAATTCAAAATTTAAAAAACTGTACTATTTACACTCAGGTACAGTGTACAGTGTACAGTGTACACTGTACAGGGAACGAAAAAGTAAAAATTAGACTAAAAAAGTCAATCATAGAGTTTGTCAGAAAGTGAGGATAGTTAAGAGAATAACTGGTAAGTGAATGAATAAGTTGTGAGTAAGTGAGTGAGAGGATGTTAATGAGTTAATGAATGATTAACTGAATGACTGAGTGACTGAGAGAGTAAGAGAGTGGCGAATGAGTTAGTGAATGAACCAGTGATTGAGTGACGGAGTGACTGAGTGAGTTACTAACTGAATGACAGAGTGACTGATTTAGTGGCGAGTGAGTTAGTAAGGTGGTGGTGAATGAGGGAGTGAATTAGTGAATGGATCAGTGAAAATGTAAGTGAGTAAGATAGTGGTCGGGTAAGAAATAGTTGAGTTAGTTTTTGAATTTAAAGATTATTAGAATAAAAGTTAAAAAAAATATTTAATTTGCAGTTGCCTGATAGGATGAGAAACCAACATTTTGGGGAGTCCTCTGCCAAGGAATAAAGTGGAAATATCAAATATTATGATTAAATCATTTTTTAAATATTACTTGAAATTTAACCCTTTAAAGGCTGGGGGGTCTGAATCTATGTATAGCCTGAAGACCAAAAAAATTTAATAGTTTGGGTACTAGGGACTAAAGATGTTAAAATGTAAAAAAATTATTATCTTAAATTGTTGATTTCTATAAAAGCTACTTGTGAATTGATCAGGTACAAAGCTTTTCAGGGTACCGGCCGGTGTGAAAGAAATATGAAACTTTTGGCTTTAAAAGCTAAGCTCTACATTTATAAATAAAGGAGAACAGTTTGCTGGCCCCAACCAACCCGGAGATATCTAATCCTGTTTTTAAAACCTCGTACAGGTAAACCTATAAACATTTTTGAACTAACAAAACTTTAGTGAAATTTTGTTTAACAATACGAACATTTTGTTTAAAATTGGGAAAATTTTGTTAAAAAATAATTAACATTTAGTTTGAAATTATGAACATTTAGTTTAAAATTGTGAACATTTAGTTTAAAATTATGAACATTTAGTTTAAAATTATGAACATTTAGTTCAAAATTCTGAACAGATAGTCATGGATATCTCACACATTTTCTAAGCACTAACATTCTTGTTGTAATTTTGAAAGAAATGTTAAATATATCGAAAAGCATTCAGTAAATTCCATAATACTAAAAAATGTTTGGGGTTTTTCTTAAAATTTTAAAAACATTAATATTAAAAATACAGGAAGTGTTCCAAATTTAATAAAAACTTGTAGACATGAAAATGTATCATACACTACAGAGGTCTGTGTTCTGTTTTGAAGGGTAACCCCTTTCTAAATTGGAAATTCATATTTTATATACAAATGGTCGATTTTAAATTTTGTTCTGTTTAGTTACCTTGACAAGACTGCTTTTAACCCTATCCCGATTGGGCTTTTGTTGTCTAATATAGATGGGGGGGGGAGTGGTGTTTTTTAAATTTTATTTGATGAGTTTTCCCTTAGAGTTGAGATAGGGGAGTGTGATATGTCCTTAGTCAAACTTTTTAAGGACTGCTCATTCAAAACAAAGTTAGACCTCTAACTTTAGTTGTTAGGGTGTAAGGGAGGATTTTTTAAAAGTTCACGCAAAAGTATGCAGAACAAATTTTCAAAATAGTTTTTTGACTTTTTGAATATTAACATATGACACATGTTATCAGATCCATTTTTCAAGGTCTTTTCAAATATATAAGTTTTAGCCCTGTAGCTTAAAGGAAGTGTTCGCGAAAAATGAAAGGGGGTATAGGCTTAATGCGATAAAAAAGCGCTTTTGATCGCTTCTAATCTTACTTCTATCTGTTGCGTCTATAAGGAGAAAATTGTTAAAAACGACTAATACCGAAGAACGTTATCCATACAAATTTAGAAAGATGCAACATACGACTTAGACCGTAAAAAAATCTATTTAAGTTCAAACAAATCATTCAGATATTACACCCTATGGTCATCATCGATTATCTTTCGCCACATATTTATATAGTTTATTTTTCATAATATGTCTTAATTGTTATGATCTGAGAGTTACTTATAAAAACATTTATTCCTGTTTCGAGGATTTTTGGTAATGAAGTCGACATTTTCATATTTTCCAGGAATGTTCGAAAACAAGTTGGAAGCTAAATGTTATTTTAAAAAATAAAATAAAATAGATAAAAGAAATAGATAATAAAGCTACAAGGCTAAAATTTATAAACTTTAAAAGCCCTTGAAAAATGGATGTAAAAACATTTGTCACATGTTAATATTTCTCAAAACTAAAACATATATTTTTGAACATTTTTCCGATGTACTTTTTGAACTTTTTTAAAATCCTCTCTTGCACCTTAACCATTTAAGTTAGAGGTCTCATCTTTTTTTTATAAGCAGGCTTTATAAAGTTAGACTAGAGAAATGTATCAAACTCCCTAATCTCAACTCTAAGGGAAAAATCATAGGGGGGGGGAATACCACCCCCCCCCCCAATCTATATTTGACAAAAAGAGTCTAATCGGGACCAGGTTTAACGAATATATTTCATGCAGTGAATATGGAAAGTACTCCCCGACCATCCACACTCTGCCATCAACCTACCACGGACTCAACACACGATTTACAAATAAGGAAAACTTTTCTTTTCAAAATATTCTTATTTTTTTAGAGTCAAATTTGCATTCTGCATTTTTACCTACAATATAAAAAGTTTTTTATTGTTCTGAAGCAAATAAGCGACATTTTATATTTATAATATAATTCTATTTTTTTAAATATGTATTTCACGGATTTTCATTGAAATCGAACATATTCAAGAAACTTGCATTTTATAAACTTATATATCCAACAGTCTTGTGTTATCAATATCATTTGGGAAAATTTGTTTTTTATTGTGATTTTTACTTTACTTAAAAAATTTTAATATTAAGATTAATAATGAAAATATTAATATAAATACATATATAAATAATAAATAATGCAAACAAAACATTTCAAAACAAATGTCGCGATTTAATGCGAAGAAAAAAATCAAAGAAAATTTGTTCAGACAGCTCGTCATGGAATGTTCAGGAATCACTCCTTGAATATTTAATCAGGTGATACGTTAATTTTAATAAAAATTTCAAGAACAAGAATATTATGTTCTTTATAGAAAAAAAATATTCAATCAAAGGTCAATTGAGGACATTATGACTGAAAGAGAAAAAATACGTTTTTGTCTATTCCGCGCCAGTATAGAGCGAGTTTAAGTCAACTTCTTTGTTTTTTAAAAATGGTTTTAAAAGTTCGCTGTGATCTAAAACTGTGATTGAAAACGTTGCATCTAGTGCAAAAAAAAGAAGATATTGCATACTGAAGTTTTATTTATGTATATTGGGCGTCCCAAAAAATAGTCTTTATTTAACAAATTACAAAGACGGATCAGATTTTTATAAAGTCGAAATAAGTCCAAACTTTCACTTTGGACAGGTCTTATCTCATGTTTTTTCAATAACAAATTTTTTGTTCAGGAGAGGTGGGCCTGGGAATCAGTCGCAAGAAACTCTTGAAAACAAGTCATCAATTTTTGTTATCTGTGAAGAAAGAATAGAAACCGTCATATTTTCCTCATTTGCAAAAAACTAATACGCCATGTTACACCTTTAAAATCTGCTTAATCATTGGCATTTTCCAATGTTTCTATATATCTGAAACCTTTCATTAAACCAATTCTGTTTTAACAAATCATTGATGCCACCATTATCTTTTTTTCCTTTTTTATGTTTTCCATATTCAATTTGTTGTTGTAAGTAGAGTAACTGTTTCGTGATATGTACACGTGTCAAAAACTAAGAATTTTAGGAAAAATAAATTAATAAAATGGAACATTTTTAGATAAATAAAAAACTCAAAAAATGCTTTCTCCTCGGGCTGCAGGTTCCCGACGCAGTTCCTTAGTTCCACAAACTAAACTACAAATGGTAAATTTATTTTTATTTATATTTTGTTTTCACTTATATTTATTAAGAGCCAACCAGAGTTAAGCCCCCCCCCCCCCCGGAGGTGATGCATATCCTGTTATTTCCTGAGAGAAAGGGAGTCCCGCCCCCCGGGCCCTCCTTGAAGTGTCAAAACATGGTTAGCCTCCCCCCCCGGAAAAAAATCTTAGCTAAATACGCCCCTGGAGCGTATTACATCTATTACAAAGGCATAACAAGGGGAGGGTTTTATTTCATTCAAAATAAATGAAAGCGTTCGATCTGTCTGTTCAAAATAGGGTTTATAAGGCAAATGGATTTTACTTGCGCGCGATTTCGGGCCCTGAGCCCAAAATTTAAAAGATTATCATTGAACGAAACTTCAAAGTTTCCTTTTTGGGGTCTTAACATTTGTGTAGATTTTGATTTTAGAGATTCGAAAAAAATGGAGAATATTAAGAAGCTAAATAAAATAATATTTCATAATACAATTATTGATATAAACAAAACTGCTTAACCCCATTTATGAAACCCAGGCTCTAAAACTGGTTTTCATAACGATACCCTGTCTTAAGTTTTGGGCTCTGTGAACTCCTCGCAATTCCGCGCAATTAGAGAACTGTTGCGCACAACGAAATTCCGATTGGAACACCTTGTTGACTTTAAAAATCACTATATTAAAATAAAGAGATCCAAATGGATATTTCTAACATTTATTTAAAAAACGAAAGTTTTGAAATATTTGCACATAAAGCGGAGTTAAAATTGGTTGATTTAGAAATTAACAAAGGAATTAATGATGGATATTTGATGGCACTTCATGGGAGTGTTGTAGAGCTTCATGTTGGTGGAGCAGATCAACAGGAACTGGGACAACAGGGCTTATCAATGGAACTAAGGCAATGCAACTCGAGATAGCGGAAACTTCGGTCGGAGCCGGGCACAAGTTTCCTAAGTAAGCTTCTCAAGAAGTTAATAGGGAGATCAGATGTATAAGCACGCCTGCTGTTAGCTCAGTATCTGCATCATCAGCATGAAGGAGTCAAGAGGCTCCCTGTGTCGGAGCTGTTACCAGCCCAATTCTCCTAACCTGACTGAGGGCTGGGGTGTGTAGAGGGTGAGGCGGGGAACGAAGGAGCAAGGGTTACATGTGTGTGCTTCATGGCGGAAATGGATTGTGTGTCTACTCACATCTTAAAAATAGTTGACGGCAATTGAGTCGGTAAAATCGTCTTCCTTATATTTCGAATTTGTGTTAACACACCTAGTTTAAATCATTTATTTCTATTCATAATTTTCCATCTCAATTCATAAGTATTCATCTTAATTCATAAGTATCCATATCAATCATAAATAATCATCTTAATTAAAAAGTATTTATCTCAAATTATAAGTATTCATCTTAATTTATAAGTATGCATCTCAATTCATAAGTTTTCATCTTAATTCAGAAGGATTCATCTCAATTCATAAGTATCCATTTTAATTAATAAGTATCTATCTAAATCCATAAGTATTCATCTCAATTCATAAGTATCCAGTTTAATTCATAAGTATCCATCTTAATTTTTAAGTATTCATCTTAGTTCAAAAGTTTTCATCTTGATTCATAAGTATTCATCTTAGTTCATAATTATCCATCTTGATTCATAAGTTTTAACCTTAATTCATAAGTATTAATCTTAATCCAAAAGTATTCACCTTAATTCAAAAGTATTCATCTTATTTCAAAAGTAGCCATCTTAATTCATAAGTATTCATCTTAATTCAAAAGTATTCATCTTAATTCATAAATATTCACCTTAATTCAAAAGTAGCCATCTTAATTCATAAGTATTAATCTTAATTTTCTAAGTTTTCATCTACTATTTAAAACTATCCATCTCAAGATCTGTATGAACGTCTATATGATTCAATCAAGAAAAAAGTTAGAATGTTTTTTCCTCCTGAAATAACAGGATAACTATGAGATAGTTTGTCAGTTATAACTTAATTATAGTATTCTACTTATTCATGTTCTAGTCCCAATCCACTTTCAATATTATGTTTTTTACAACACAATCACAAAATCACAATCATCCTATAAATGTAATTGGTTTGTTTGGTTTAACATTTTCTTAAATCTTTTCATGAAATCCGCCAATTAAAACTGGAAAATCTACGCATATTTAGGTGTGAAAAAAAAACGAAAATGAACATTTAAGGACAAAAACAATGAACTTAGTGTTTTAATAAAACACTAAGTAAGTCTACTAGTATATAATTGTATTTATTATAGATTTTGGATTGGCTATTACAGGGTTTGTTTGTATCCATTAAACATCAAGAAGGCTGCCGCTATTTAGCCGATAAGAGTCCAAGAATTTTTAGAATTTTAGAATTATTTTTTTAAAAACAGAAAAATTGACAAAACTTTTGAAGAAAGTCAAGTAATTAACTTTCTTAGGTTACTAAAGACCTCAAGACAACAGAGGATGTCTTCGGTGACCTGTTGAAAAAGGTGATATTCCTTAAAAAACATAATTAAAATGTTTTACTTTAAATTTATAATTGTTTACAACTACAGTGGTAGGCGAATATATCAATACAATAAAGACGACTTTTAATTGTTTAAAGTTTTGGTTGTTCACAAGCATTTCTCGATTTACAAGTTAACAAGTAATCAAAGAGAAGCTTTTTTTATTGACAACATCTTTTGACTGTTATGTTCATGTGTATTTATGTTGTTAAACATCGTGATTTAAATCAAAATTGATATCAAACGTCGTCTTTATTGTATTGATATTACCACTGTACTTTACAGGGAAGTTAAGAGAATTTTACTTTACAAAGGGTTCCCAAGAACAACTGGCAAAATTGTTAGGTGACAATTGTACACAATTTTATCCTCTATTAACATGAAAATGCGCCAAATTTTTCACAAAAACTTTACAGAGCTGAAAACTTTTGAATGGGATATCCTTAATCCCGATCGGTTAATTAATCTGGAGATTAAAAATGAGAGAAGAACAAGCATTATTTAATCTGGAGATTAAGAAAAAGAGTGGATCAAGCATTAATCCCGATATCCACTATTCAAAAGTTCCCAGCTCCGAGCGGGTCGTTATTCACTTAATTATCCCAAGGAACATGAAGTTACTTAACGTTCCTCTGTAGGGGGAATTATGGGTAGGTGAAGTTGGTCAAAATGCTGCAAATATTCCAGGTTTTGGACTCTATAGAACCAGGGGACACCATTCCTGAAGCAGAAATAGGAACATTTTATAAATAAAATATTTTTTATTCTTTTTAAACGTAGTTTACAAAAGAATCTAAAGATCCAGTTAAGTTAGGGGGAGTGGTGAATATTTTAAACCTAAAAACTTTTAATACAATAAATCCTTAAACTTTCAATTAGTCAAACATTAAATTAAAAGAAAGTCAGACGCAAACCGTTAAATCTTCATTGAAGGGAGTAATGACAATTTTTAGGTATCCCCATATTCAAATTTAGCGTCAAACCAAAAATTATTAAAAAATAATTTTTTTATGTAAAAGTTGAAAATTTTTAAAAAGGAACGAAGTCTTACTTATAAAAGGGACGTGTGATGATCTTCAGATTGGGGCTCACCTATTTGAAATCCTCAACAGTCCCTTTATGTAAGCATTCTTACTAGATCTTCTAGTATTTGTGTTTAGAAAGCGTTTAGTTCGAATTTAATTCTAGAACATATTTATATTTAACTTTTGTAACCACTTAGCAAGATTTGAATTATAAAATTTCAATTTTTCACAAAAAAGTAACACAATTTTTACAAATTTTTTAAAATGTTAAAAAGTTTGTAACATCATTGACAAGCTGGAAAGGAACATCAGCCTAGGTAAAATAATATTGAAATATTCAAATATTTAGATATATTGAAATATTGAAATATTCAAACAATTAAATAGCCAAAGTTCAGATATTCCAAAATTATAATATTCAAATATTTAAATAGTTAAAAAAGCAAATATTCTGATATTTAAATAATCAAAAATTCAAATATTTAAAATAATTGTGCTTTAGTAATTTAACTTTTTTTAATTTATTAATTTTTATTTATTTGTTGGGTCAAGGGGGTCAAAAAATCGTATATTAGGAAATTACCACTCATTCAGTTAATAGGTTTTCTCAACAAATGAAAAGACATTCAACATTTTAAAATTGAGTACTCATTAAGAAAATCGGATTCGGAATAATTGCAGACTTTTCGAGCATTTACGAAGTTAAACTTATTCTTTTTACTTAAGAAACTTAACGGATTTTTACAATTTGCTACGAAATTTTCAATAATGTTCAAATTTTCAAAAGAAAAAAGAAGATGACAAAACTTCTACTGGTTTCCACTGCAGTTGATTTTTTCTTAACTTAAATGTTTAGTATCAGTGGTTGCTAACTATTGTAAACATAAAGAATCAAAGACTGAAGATCCCCACCCATTAGGTAACCTTTTCTTTACAAAGTTGAAGGTATATAGATGTCGTCTTACTTTTACGCGTTATTGATTCATAACCCAATTTACTGTTGATCTTTTCAATGACTCTCCATTTAAAAAGCGAAGGTTCCTATGGTTCCTTAAATAAACTTAAGCTGATCGAGATTAAGGAAAATATAGTTGTTCTTATTATTTTGAAAATTGTTTTATCTTGGACATTGTCTCCCCTGGCTTCAGTGTTACCCACAAAAGATGAAACTGTTAAGACGACCCAAAACACCTATATTATGACGATTTAAAGCTTGAATTTTGGTTTCTTCATTTATTTTAGTATTCTATTTGTGTACTAAATGACGAGGCAAATAAATGAGCCAATTTCTGAAGTTTCTGAAGTCTCATCCTTTGTGGGTAACTCTGTTTATACTTTATAATACTTTTATTATTTATATACAAAATTATATTATAAAATTTCGTTTAGATGCTGATATAGGAGATCGCAGTAGGCTAAAGAGAGCAATGCAGGTTATTTTATATTGCATTGCAAAACCTTTTCATATTTTTCTTCACCAAATTAGGAAATAATTTATACAGTGATAACCAGAAAACTCTGGAATAGAAAGTCGACTTTTAAACTTAAATTAGGACTTTAAATAGTCCAATGAGCATGAAGCACAGCTATTGTGCAGACTGCAGTGTAAACAAACCCATTTCACTTAACAATTGAAATAATAACTTACTTGTATCGCTATTTACTTCTTAGCATCATTAAATGCACGTCAGTATTGCTTAAATGTCTTCTTCCTATTCTGCAGTTTTCTGGTTATCACTGTATAAAACATATTATTAAAAATATTTTCTCTTTGAGGTTACGAAACGTTATCTGGTCTTATAAATTAATTGGGAAGGATAAAATTAATTTTGAAGAAAACAGATTACAGTGATGAGACGACTAGAAGTACCTAAACAAAAGTTAATCTAGGGGTAAAAAATGTGCCAATTAAACATTTTTAGAGATATTTAACTAAATTTAACAAAATATATAGCTATTGCATTTCTAAATAAAAATTACACAAGACGACTCACATGACATTCAACTTTATACTGGTACTATAATATTTTTAACACAAACATCATTAAATTGATAGAAGACATAAAATTAAGAGTATTATACTTAGATATACAAAAATATTGATCGCTAACATGCAGACTGTAAAGCTGAAAATTGTACAACCCAACGAGGTTATAGTATATAGAGTGATGATGTACGCTAATCCTTTACTAATTGTACAGGCCATGTACTCCACTTCCAAAGGTCAATCTGTATATTACAGTACTCGGGGGTGATTTCTGAAAATATTTATTTTTATTTAAGCAGAAAAAAATTTTCAATCAAAAACTCTGGGCTATATGGATCTCGGTAATTTATATAACTAAAAAATAAATAAATTTTCTTTATTTTCAATTACACTTTTAAAGGAAAACTTAAACACTAATAATTCAAACTAATATTGGAATATCTTACTAAAAATTGGTTACTTTAAAAGACTTTTATTCATAAATTGTCATACAATTTTTATTTCAAGCATGAAAATACTTGATTTGAGAAACCAGGGGATCCATCAACTTTTGCACTCCAGTCTCTAAGCATACTCTCATGTGGAAAACAATCTTCTAAACAGTTCTGAAATAAAAATAAAAGATATATCAAATATCAAACTATTTTAACGATTACTAGACTAATCTTATATTTCAAATGCGAATAAGGGCGCATACAAAAATAAATGTAGGGGGGGGGGGGCAAAAAATGGGGGAAAAAAATGTTGCCCCCCCCTAAGAGCTTCTAGGGGGGGCAGGTCTAGGTAGGGGCACTCTGCCCCCCTGTATACACCCTTGATTACGAACATTTGCTCTTTGTATACAGTGAACAAACAAATAAACAAAAAAGTTCTTGGATTTTATTCAAGTTTGTTGCCAAAAAATCTTTGATGTTAAAAAAGATGGATGAAAATCATGTTGTATGAGTTCCACCCCCCCTCGCCTTTCTAGGGAACTTAAACTGTGCTTAACTAACCTGTAGGCTTGCGCCTAATTCTCTGAAAAATCTCGCCAGGAATTTGAGAAGCAGAAGCCATTAGTAGCTCCATGGTACTCTCTTAGATGGATATTTTTGGCACGCAGTTTTAAGTGTATCCTGGAGATCTACCACAGTTTTTTAACGTTTTTGAAGGTTGTAACATCTCTCTCTGTATTTCATTCCAATTTCCGCACTATCTTGGAGAAGTTGAATTGTTTCTTGAGAAGAAGGCAGGGCATAATTATGATCTTTCTTTATCACTTGGACATGAAAATCTGTAGGAACAGCCAAATATATGGGTACAGAATTGTTCCACAACTTTTACCATAGAGACTTCTATAGCATTTATTTTTAAAATACCGAATGCATCTCCGGTTAAGAGAGTCTGTTTTCCATTTGACTATTGCAATCCCTGCTCTTTTATCGTGTGCAAGATTACATTTTTACAGGAAGACGTACTATTGCAGTCTTTTACAGAGCAATATTTCATGGTTAGGATACGATTCTGGTAAAACTGAGTAAAATTTAAGACACAAAACATCCCCATACACTTGTACTCCGAAAGCGTACTGCATATTTGATGTGTGTACTGTATGATATAGGCCATAATCTCTTAATATCCCTTATAAGTAAACTGTCCTAGGTGTACACTTAGGCTAGACAGCGGCCCAGGTAGTTAACTATCATCCCCTGGTACAACCCCTTGATTTGAAAAGGTCATTAAATACGTTTCACTTCTCGGGGTCAATCTGTAGAGTATTTTTTTTTACTAATTTATTAAAAGAAGTTTAATAAAAACTAAGCTTCTCCCATTAACTTTGTTTAGCTTTTAACCCTAAACTGGCTTGGCCGGCCCTACAGTTTTTTTTGTCCTAGCACTCATTTTTGTCACTATTATATTACCGTGAAATTTTGTGACTTTTAATGAATAGTTAATCTAAAGGATTTTTCTGTCAATTTTTGTTTTAATTTATCTAGTGTATTATATCTTTATTCAGTTACAGCTTGAATTAAACCAAATGATTATTATCTAAGGTTATTAAGGTAATGTAAATTGTCTTCTAACCGTTGAAATATTAATTCCGCTAAATTTATATAAAAGAAATTTACCAAAGGAATTGAGTCTTTGCCACACACTGAAATTTTCTAAGCCCTATATATTTGCAACCTGATGGTGTAAATCATTGATTTTTCAGATTCAGATTAATTGATCTAACATAATTCATAGTTTAAAATATCTGGTTTTTTAACAAATTTAACTCTATCCGATATTATTTGGTACATTAAAAACTTAAAAACTGCAGCTAACACTATAAACGCTTAAACATTCTTCATACTTTTAACTTCATAGTTGAAAACAAATTTAGCAATTCATTTTTGATGCTTAGGGTAGGGTGGAGGATGGTCAAACGACTGGTTGATGTTCCACAATAGTCCATCACTATTTTCTATTCATAAAGCTTTACAGATATGACATTTATTTATTTAAAAAGCCCTGAAAAATGGATATAAAAACTTGTGTCTAACTATGTTGATATTAGTCAAAAACTTTTAAAACTATTTTTTAAACCTTCCTAGAGCAGCCAAACCATTAAAATTAGAGGTCTACTTTTTTAAGAGCTAGCTTTGTACAATTGAACTAGTTACGAACCCCCCCCTCCACCCCCACTACGATATGAGACAAAACCAAATCTGGAAAGGGTTACATAAAACATTATTTTATTTGATTTATCTTTATTGTATAATATCCGTAGATACTGCTGGGATTGTTCAAAGAAATAATATTGGAAAAATCTAAAAACAAATTGAAGAAAATTAAACCTGAAGATGAAGTTATCAGGTATCAGTTTGATAAATAGAAATATATAAAATCTAATTTTTTTGGATTACGCACAATTCCGACACATCTTGATTCTTGATTACGCACATTGAGGACACATCTTGATTCTTGATTACGCACATTTCAGACACATCTTGATTCTTGATTAAGCACATTTCCGACACATCTTGATTCTTGATTACGCACATTTCAGACACATCTTGATTCTTGATTACGCACATTTCAGACACATCTTGATTCTTGATTACGCACATTTCAGACACATCTTGATTCTTGATTAAGCACATTTCAGACACATCTTGATTCTTGATTACGCACATTGAGGACACATCTTGATTCTTGATTAAGCACATTTCAGACACATCTTGATTCTTGATTACGCACATTTCAGACACATCTTGATTCTTGATTAAGCACATTTCAGACACATCTTGATTCTTGATTAAGCACATTTCAGACACATCTTGATTCTTGATTAAGCACATTTCAGACACATCTTGATTCTTGATTACGCACATTTCAGACACATCTTGATTCTTGATTACGCACATTTCAGACACATCTTGATTCTTGATTAAGCACATTTCAGACACATCTTGATTCTTGATTAAGCACATTTCAGACACATCTTGATTCTTGATTACGCACATTTCAGACACATCTTGATTCTTGATTGCGCACATTGAGGACACATCTTGATACCTTACATTGAGGAACTCAATGAGGTACTCAAAGTACGTAGATTGAGAACACACATTGATGACACTTAATGAGAAATTATATTGAGGACTCTCATTGATGACGCACAATAAGGACACACATAGAGGACACTTAATAAATAATTTTAGGACACTTATGGCAATGACACTTAATGAGAAAAGATATTAAGGACTTTCATTGATGAACAAGAATAAGGACACATACTAAAAGCGCCATTTTAAAAAATCTAACAAATTTTTTTTTAGCACACGGATACCTGGACCGAAAAGTGCTTCTAATGATCCTAAGGAAACCCTGCAAAAGAAGGTTATTTTCATAGATTAATACAAATACAGATTTTTAAGACTTAGAAGTTTTTAGTTCAAATAACCCTGTGGAAAGGGCCCAAAGGAGTTTGCCACGTTGAATTACAAGGCAGAGAGAGAGAGAGAGAGAGAGATGTTGCGCGTAACTCCTATAAGCTTCTGTATCAGGGTTATTGTGAACGAAATTTTCGTAAACCTTGAAAAGACTTCATCTAGTGTTCTATCTGTATTGTTAATTAATCTGTAAATATTTTCTATATAAAGTATTACATATATAGTATTTCATATAAAGTATTGATCTCAGTTAAGTAGGTTTATGACTGAAAAACCCACTATACTAGCCTAAAAATTTAAATGGGAAACTTGTATAGAATCACAGGTATGTTCTCAGTTTAGGGTTAAGAGTTTATAGTACAGTGAGTTTACTTTTAGAAAAAAATCTTGTTTCCAAAAAAAGGGTTCCCATGCTAGTTCTTCAATAAAAAAGTACGTATGTATCATCAATTACTAATGGTTTTTAATTTAATTAACTTTAGCAAAATTTTTAAACATTACTTTAGCAACTTGAATTTCAGAGCTAGGGAGAATAATTATTTATTCTCGCTAAAAATAGGGCTGATAATTAATAGTTATAATATTTTATTAGTTTTTTTATATATAATTTCTAGGAGGAGAGATTTCAGTTTATGGCTCGGGATGTGGTTTTTTATCTTGGTAAGTATTTCAATGAACTGATTCTCCTTCTATAGTAGTGCATGTCTGTCTGACCCTTTAATTTCGAACAAAAAAATTCAATTATAAATATAGAAATATTAATAAATAATCCTTGTTCAGACAAAGATTAAAAAGGTAATGTTGTGAATCGGACATGCCACTCTACAAGTATATTGAGGGTTAATTAAAATTACGCCTCTAGTCCCTTTATTGTTAAATTTTATTATTCTAGTCACGCAAAGAATCAAGGAACTTAATTATTTGAAGGATATTTTAAAATTGCTTGTATTTATCAATTTATTTGATCCACGTAAATACAGACTACTGTAAAAATTTGCATCACTTTTAAGGACTGGGTCAACTTAGAAGTGTCGCCTAACTCACAAATACTTTTGTGTAGAACATTCTAATATTATATTGCAGTACACGAGATTGTATTTCATATTATATTGCAGTACATGAGATTGGTAGCTAATATTATATCGCAGTACATGAGATTGCATCTAATATTATATTTCAGTACATAATATTGTATTTAATATTTTATTGCAGTACATGAGATTGGTATCTAATAATATATTTTAGTACATGTGAGTGTATTTAATATTATATTGCAGGACATGAGATTGTATCTAATATTATATTGCAGTACACGAGATTGTATCTTATATTATATTGCCGTACATGAGATTGTATTTGATATTATATTGCAGTACATGAGATTGTATCTAATATTATATTAAAGTACATGAGATTGGTTCTAATATTATATTACAGTACATGAGATTGGATCTAATGTTATAGTACATTACATGAGATTGTATCTAATATTATATTGCAGTACACGATACTGTATCTAATATTATATTACAGTACATAAGATTGGATCTAATATTATATTGCAGTACACGAGATTGGATCTAATATTATATTGTAGTACATGAGATTGTATTTAATTTTATATTGAAGTACATGAGATTGGGTTTAATATTATATTGCAGTACATGAGATTGGTATCTAATGTTATATTGCAGTACATGAGTTTCTATCTAATATTATATTGCAGTACATAATATTGTATTTTATATTTTATTGCAGTGAATGATATTGTATTTAATATTATATTGCAGTACATGAGATTGTATCTAATATTATATTGCAGTACATGAGATTGTATTTAAAATTATATTTCAGTACATGAGATTGGTTCTAATATTATATTACAGTAAATGAGATTGTATCTAATATTATATTGCAGTACATGAGATTGTATCTAATATTTTATTGCAGTACATGAGATTGGATCTAATATTATATTGCAGTACATGTTATTGTATCTAATATTATGTTGCAGTACATAATATTGTATTTAATATTTTATTGCAGTACATGATATTGTATTTGATATTATGTTGCAGTACATGAGATTGTATCTAATATTATGTTGCAGTACATGAGATTGTATCTAATATTATATTGCAGTACATGAGATTGTATTTAATGTTATATTGTAGTACATGAGATTGGTTCTAATATTATATTACAGTACATGAGATTGTATTTAATATTATATTGCAGTACATGAGATTGTATCTAATATTATTTTGCATTACATGAGATTGGAACTAATATTATATTGCAGTACTTAATATTGTATTTAATATTTTATTGATGACACATTTTTTTTAAATCGGCATTTGGGAAATTTCCCAGATACCCAGGCATTTGGGAAATTCCCCAAATTCCTATAGGTATTTGAGGGTGGTATATTTATAAGTTTTTGGAAATTTCTTAAATGCCAGAGTATCTGGGAAATTTCCCTAAATGCCTGGGTATCTGAGAAATTTCCCAGATACCCAGGCATTTGGGAAATTTCTATTTTTGACATTTTTGATTATTCTCCCTCATTTTATTGCAGTACATGATATTGTATTTAATATTATATTGCAGTACATGAGATTGTATCTAATATTATATTACCTTAGATGAGATTGTATTTAAAATTATATTTCAGTTCATTAGATTGGTTCTAATATTATATTACAGTACATGAGATTGTATCTAATATTATATTACAGTAAATGAGATTGTATCTAATATTATATTGCAATACATGAGATTGTATATAATATTATATTGCAGTACATGAGATTGTATCTAATATTATATTTCAGTACATGAGATTGTATCTAATATTATATTGCAGTACATGAGATTGTATCTAATATTATATTACAGTACATAAGATTGCATCTAATATTATATTGCTGTTCATACGATTGTATCTAATATTATATTACAGTACATGAGATTGTATCTAATATTATATTAAAGTACATGAGATTGTATCTAATATTATATTACAGTACATGAGATTCTATCTAATATTGAACATAATTTTTTATTGAAGTTCATGGCATTGTATAATATTACATTGCAGTACATGATATTGATTTAATGTTATATTGCAGTGCATGAGATTGTATCTAATATTATATTGCAGTACATGAGATTGTATCTAATATTATATTGCAGTTCATGAGATTGTATCTAATATTATATTGCAGTACATAAGATTGTATCTAATATTTCATTGCAGTACATGAGATTGGATCAAATATTATATTGCAGTACATGAGATTGGGTCTGAAATTATATTGCAGTACATGAGATTGTATCTAATATTAAATTGCAGTATATGAGATTGTATTTAATATTTTATTGCAGTACATGAGATTGTATTTATTATTATTTTGCATTTATAAGATTGTATAAAACATTTTACTGCAGTACATGATATTGGATCAAATATTATATTCCAGTACATGAGATTTTATCTAATATTAATTTGCAGTACACGAGATTGTATCTAATATTTTATTGCAGTACATGAGAATGGATCAAATATTATATTGCAGTACATGAGACTGGGTCTGAAATTATATTGCAGTACATGAGATCGTATATAATATTATATTGCAGTACATGAGATTGTATTTAATATTATATTGCAGTACACGAGATTGTATCTAATATTATATTGCAGTACATGAGATTGGTTCTAATATTATATTACAGTACATGAGATTGTATCTAATATTATATTGCAGTACATGAGATTGTATTTATCATTATATTGCAGTACATGAGGTTGTTTCTAATATTATATTGCAGTACATGAGATTGGCTGTGATGTAAACGGATTCCTGGGAAAATGTCCGAAAGATCAACAAGTTGAAGACTTTCTTAAAACGTTTAAATTGTTTAAGGCAGGACAGAAGTTTAAATTGTTCAAAAAGTTTAAAGTTCAAAATTTGTTTAATAAGGTCAATAAGATCACAATTCAGGAGAAGGACTAATATGAGTTGATCATAGTTTAATAATAATACAGATAGAAGCAAAGAGAATAGATTATATATTAGAGTGGAATTTACTAGAAAAAAGTGTAAAACGGCCATTTTGTTGTACTGTTTCCATACTGCAAGTGTACTTCACATATTTGTGATATAAAACCTTTTGGACCCAACAACATTTTATAGAAAATTTAAAATTAATATTAAAAAAAACCAAATTATGAAATAGGCTGGTTTCATAATTGACCAATAATCATTTCAAATAGACTCTATGCCTTTCACTTTACATACGATGATTTTCCGCTACAGCTATAAATCAAATGATGTTTTTTAATAAAGTTTATTTAACAGCTTTAAAAAATTGAAATGGATATTCTAGGGAACATACTGTATTATGTACTCTAATGCATATAATTTGTGAACATTTACATGATTTGTACACTTTGAACTCCCTTTCAGGCTGAAAGGGACTGACAAAATTCATACCGAGAGATTGACTAAATTCCAGTCTAATATATATTCTATTCTCTTTGGATAGAACACTAGATGTCGTCTTTTCAAGATTAAATGGGTTTTCGTTCACAATAACGCTGAGGTAGAATACCAAAGGAGTTACTTGCTATAGCTCTTTTTCTGTCTTGTCATTCAAGGAGGTTTCTAAAAATACTCCTTAAAAACATAACTTTTAAAATAAGAATTTTATCGATACCAATACTTTATTCTTGAATTGAAAAATACGACTTAGTGTATACCCATCCAACATTACAGGGTTACCCACAATCGATGAGACTTTTAAAGAGACAACTGAATGCATTTTTTACTGTCTGTTTACTTATATATTTAGGATTTTCTGTAACTGTTAAATTTTTCAGTCTTTCGCAAATCAATGAATAAGTAATAAAACGCCTGCATTTATGACTGACTTTGGAATCATATGTTTTATCTCGTCCTTATGGTCGTCTTCTTTGTGGGTTACCTTCAAATCAATACTATGCCAGCTTTGAAAATTAAATCAGGTCCATTTTTTGGCCCTAAATCAAACAATTTTCAAGATATGAAACGTAAAAAAATGAACAGTATTTGGTGGCGTCTGACACGTTTTTAGATACATATCAACATATTTTAAATATCTTTTTTTTTCTTTGCTAGCGCCATCTTTTTTTCAACCGTTAAAGTCATTTTCGTATGACAATTTAAATTTTACAGAAAAACTTTGTTTCATAAAGTTGATCCGACAATACCAATCCAATACCAGATGACTAAATTGAGATCTATAAAAACAAACTGTAAACAACGGCCCCCTTAAATATAAATGAAGCTTGAATTTGCCGTTTAACATTTGACTTAAACTCTGACTGCAGGGGTATGCCAGATCCTTGATTGCCAGACCAAGAAATACAACGCTAAAGGAGGAAGAAATATTGCTGCAAAAAGTAAGGTAAGCTCGATACTTCCGCCATAATTGAATCCTTATATGACGTATCTGCTTATTGGCAGAGGCTGAAGTGCTGGTGAGAGGGGGGAAGGATTTTCTCCGCTTATCAGGTGTAAGAAGCGAAGAAAATCCTTCCCCCCTGTCACCAGCAACATTGTCACTTCTTCTAAGACTCTGCTACGTCATATGAGGATTTTGTCCATTGCTGTGAGGACGACATTTCCCATACATAGTAGTGTATCCAGAGTATCTATATCTACCCTATAAAACAACCTTGACATCGAATAAGTGGTAATTGAGGATATGGAAAGCAAATCAAATTTCGAATAATTGAATGTTTGAACAAAGATGTGTTTAGTCTCCGAGAGGGTTTTGAGAAAGTTCTAAACGAATTGGAGAATGATCTGCAAGTTCTACTTTCCAGTAGAAATACAATACTAGGAACTTAATCAATTAATTAATCAACACACAACATTCAATGAATCAAATAAAAAGGACTATATGATGAATGATAGTAAAATTTAATTTAATATCACTACTATTTTGCATCAGAAAATTTGTCTCTGTGCAGCCTATAATGTTTAATTGATTTCTGCCAGGATCCAGAGAGATAGAAGGGAAGGATTTGAGAAACAAAATTGAGGTTAACTTTTTTTTACACTTTCAATAAGATCTTTTCAGTCAGGGGCAAAAGCGTGAATTCTTGGGGTGGAAATAGTTTTATTTTTTTTATTTTTGCACTTAATTTTGATTTTGTGCCAAAGACCATTCTTTTAAGTTAAAGTTTTTTATGTGAAGCTTTTGTGAACAAACTAATTTTTTTTTAAATAAACGAAAAAAAAATACAATCAACGAATTGGATTGTTTAAAAACATTAACAAACAATTTAAATCAACGAGCAATATTACTGTATGTTACCGAATGATTTAATTGAACAATCGTTCAATTAGAAAACGAACAATATGGATGGAAAATGATGGATATCTTAAAACCAAACAACGAAAGGGATTGTTAAGTTAAAGTTTAACTTAACCTGTCTATTTGATATCACATTTTGATAAAATAATTCCGCTGTTGAAAAAACTTTAATAGCCAAAGCTTGACACAACCATAAAATAAAGCGATTGAAAATTTTGATTTGATGCAAGTCATCAGTTCCTCTCTGAAGCTTAGTAAAATAATATTTTACTCAATTCAGGAATGCCAAAATGAATCCTCTGTAAACATTGAGGAGATCCGAAAAGAAACACTGTGCAAGTAAGTGCTAAAACTTCCTAAATCATATTGTTTTTCTTCAAATTGTTAGATTTTCTATAAATTGTCTTTATAAATCTAGGTCGTTTGTTGCTTGTCGGAACTTAATATTACACGTTCTATTTTATTGCAACGCCTAAAAAAGGGACATTTAAAAGATCTTGTCCGATTCATAACATGATCCGTTGTTTTTCTTTAAGTTTGAAAAGTGTTTGATTCGGACAATTTTTTCCATTGTTTTAGCGGCAGATATCTGTAAATCACATATATTAATTATCACAATTTAACTAGATTTTTTTTCAAAGAAAAAAATTAAGGATATCTCATTAATTAATGATACCTCATGCGTTCTTGGTCAGACATTGCTTGTTAGGTACCATTGTGAATAAGACAAGACACTCTAAAAAAATTAGGGTCACTTATAAAACTACGTCTATAACAACCATGGTTTTAGTTTAAACTTTCTTACATTTCTTTCTCAATAAATCAATCAATAAAAATCTGTTGATAAGATGATAATGTATTTTTAAAGCCAAGAAAAAAGTTTTATGACTACAGAGTGTCCCAAAAAGAAAGCTCTTTTTGACATTGAAGCAGCAAACATGGTTTGATTGTTAAAATGTTGCCTAATTTTGAAATGTATCTATTAAATCCATTAATGAAGTTATGACAGTAGGAAACTTGAAATCTTGGCTTGGATGAAAATTATATATTTTTATTGTGATATAAGTAAAAGAAATTTTTTTTATTGAATTCATAGTAAAATTTGCACCCAAGGGTTTACAATTAAACAAAAATAACTAAGACTATTATTATAGTTATTGTGCTAATAGACTGATAGTAGGCTGTTGTAACATTTAATCCCTTGATGTCGTTACAATCCCAGACATAAATCCTAGGGAAATCAAGATCAATCCTTGCCCCCCATCTTTGAGGGTTAATACAAGACTTCACTTTCATTCCCAGTACCAGTTTATAATTCACCCAAACCTCTCATCTTGTGTATAATATCTATCTCTCAAGGTCTTGAATAAGTGGGTGGTTTAACATTACACATTTTATTGGTACAAATATATCTGTTAATATCTATTTATATTGAATCATATTCCATATATCTGTAGGGTCCCTCAGCGGTAAGACAAGTCTCCACTAGCTCTTAAATAGGAAGAGTCCCTCAGCGGTAAGGCAAGTCTCCACTAACTCCTATGTAGGAAGAGTCCCTCAGCGGTAAAGCAAGTCTCCACTAACTCCTATATAGGAAGAGTCCCTCAGTGGTTAAGCAAGTCTCCACTGACTCTTATATATGGAGAGTCCCTCAGTGGTTAGGCAAGTCCCCACTGACCCTTATGTAGGAAGAGTCCCTCGGTAGTTCATCTGAGCCTCTGTTTCCTGCTGGGCTAGATGTGGTCTCAGCTGATCCTATCCTTCTATAGATAATATAACTGGTGATCTCCTGATCAATCCTAGCTATCTGTCAATCTGCTACAGACCTATGATCTTCTCCTGTGATACTTGTAACTGGTGATTTATGATCATCCTATTTCTCTGTCAATCTGCTCTGGATCTCTAGTCCCCACAGTATCTGCAACTTCCACAGTATCTGCAGTATCCTCAATATCCGCAGTATCCACAGTATCTGCAGCATTCCTAATATCTGCAGTATCCACAGTATCTGCAGTATCCTCCATATCTGCAGTATCCTCCATATCTGCAGTTTCCACAATATCTGCAGTATCTACAATATCTGCAGTATCCACATTATCTGTAGTCTGCTCTGCATCTCTGGTGATCTACAGTCTGCTCTATATCTCTGTGATCTGTTGGATGCTCTGCATCTCGATTGATCTCCCATCTACTTGATATCTCCTTGATCTGTAGGATGCTCTGCATCTCGGTTGATCTCCCATCTACTTGATATCTCCTTGATCTGTTGGATTCTCTGCATCTCGATTGATCTCCCATCTACTTGCTATCTCCTTGATCTTTAGGATGCTCTGCATCTCGGTTGATCTCCCATCTACTTGATAGATCCTCATGATCTCCTTTCACCTGGATTCATTGGCCTGTATTATCTTCTGAGTCCACAGTGTTTCTAACCATAGAAACACCTGGAATATTAGAGGGTTTAGGGAACTGAACCAGCTGTATAGAGGTGGAACTACATTGCTCTGATTCTATTATCCATTCTATAGTTCCAGCAATCCTCGGAGCCTCTAGTGTTTCTAACCATAGGAACACCTGGGACATTAGAGTGTGTAGGTAGTTGAACCAGCTGTATAGAGGTGGAACTACATTGCTCTGATTCCATTGTCTGCTCTATAGCTTCAGTGTTTCTAACCTTAGAAACATCTTGAGTATTAAAGTGTGTGGGTAGTTGAACCAGCTGTACTGAGGTGGAACCACATATCTCTGATTCTACTGTAAACCTGAGATATCTATCTCATCAATGGTTTATTTCTCTGATCTGTTGTAACCTGAGATATTTGTGTGTAGGTAGTTGAACCAGCTGTATAGAGGTGGAACTACATCTCTCTGATTCTCTGGTCTGTTCTACAGCTCCAGTGTTGCTAACCATAGAAACATCTGGAGTATCAGAGTGTGTGGGTAGTTGGACCAGCTGTACTGAGGTGGAACCACACTGCTCTGTTCTTATCCTCTGTTCTACAGTTCCAGTGTTTCTAACCATAGAAACACCTGGAGTATCAGAGTGTGTGGGTAGTTGGACCAGCTGTACTGAGGTGGAACCACACTGCTCTGTTCTTATCCTCTGTTCTACAGTTCCAGTGTCTCTAACCATAGAAACACCTGCAGTATCAGAGTGTATAGGTAGTTGGACCAGCTGTACTGAGGTGGAACCACACTGCTCTGTTCTTATCCTCTGTTCTACAGTTCCAGTGTTTTCAAACCTTAGAAACACCTTGAGTATCAGAGTGTGTGGGTAGTTGGACCAGCTGTACTGAGGTAGAACCACACTGCTCTGTTTCTTCTAGGATATCCATCTAATCTGTCATAAATCTGAGTATCAGACTCATTAATGGTTTATTGTTGTATTCTTCTGTATTCTGTATTCCTGAAGATATGATTTTGTAGATACATGTAAGTCCACATGTTGTAAGCCTTCTGAGAGCTGTCCATGAAGTGCCCGTCCCCCAGCCTTGGTTGAACAAACGGAGCTTGGCTCATACGTCTGTTCTATTCAAGGATCTGGGGTGCACTGTTGAATCTTAATGAATCAGTTCAGGTTAACTACTACGCATTCATTAAAAGAACTAAGAGGCTGGGGGAGGTTTTTAGCATGAGTCACCTATACTTTAAATATTACATCTGTATCTCTGATTATATCTGAGTAATAAAGCTCTTTGCTCATATATATATATTTGTGTATCTGGCCAAACTTTCTAATCACTACATCTTTGTAACCGGATGGCGTAAACTTTTGATCAGGGGTGTATATAATTCCATATTTTTGATTCTTTCCCCCCCCCTCTAATTTTTTTTTGAATTCCTTCCCCAAACTCGACAACTCAAAAGACATAGATTAAACTCTTCTTAGATTTATTATAGTATCATCAAAAAAAATTTACTCATTCTTACTTAATTAAACAGTAAAAAAGTCTACAGGGACATGAGACTGATTTTCTTGGTTCTTCTGTAGCTGTCCAAGAGATGCAGACAGATCTGCAAACTTCAGTTTGGACTGGAGTACTGTCTGGNTATACTAAAAATTCTAAAATTCGCGAATTTTTTATTCAGCTGAAAATTGTAGCTCCTTAAAGATTGGGGGGAAATGGAATTATATACACCCCTGCTTTTGATATGTCAAACTTGGATGATTTAATCAAACAGAAATCATAGTTTGAAATATCTAAGGTCTACATGTCATTGGTTTGCAAAGATATAGAGATTAGAAAATCAGAGTTTATGGCAAAGACTGAATTCCTTAAACTGTACTTTAGACAGATTTTTATATGGTACTAGGCTTTTAGGGCGCTTCGCGCCCATCTTCTTTTTCAACTTTTAATTGTGGCTTTATCTTTGTACAGCATAAAACAAAAACAAAAAAGTTTGCGGATTTCATAATATTTTTTTGCCATTTTCAAAATTTTTCAAAAATTAAAAACTTTTAAAGACAAATTTTTAAAATTTTGATCATTCATAAATCTTCCCTGGGGTCACGTGAGATCCCATAAAAAATTTGGGCCCGATCGGTTTAGTCGTTTTGACGTTTATTGGATTCAACAAACAAACAAACAGACAAGCCAAATTTATATATAGAAGAAAGTAAAGAAGTGAAAAAATAAAAATAAAAATCTATCTGTGAGCATCTTCTCTCTGTACAATAAAAAACATAAACAAAAAAAGTTCGCCGATTTAATAATATTTTTTCGCTCATTTTCAAACTTTTACAAAAATCTAAAACTTTTGGACAGACATTGTTGTTATTTTAAGCATCTTAAACCTTCCCGAACTAAATTTGGGCCCGATCGTCAGACAAACAGACAGACAGACAAGCAATGTATATAATCATAATCTGAAAGATCTTTAATAAGAGGAGTAATTTGATCAAAAACAGATTTCAGTTTCCCTTCATTCTTAATTTCTTAAAGTAAATACTATAGTTTTCTGGGAGTACTTTTTAGAAATCTTATCATGAAAAAAGTAAATACGCGATGATATAGTCAATATTTAATTATTCAATTTAACCTTACAAATATTGATAAAATTTTTTTCTTCTTCTTCAAATCGAAAACAAAAATGCTACAAACTTTCTAGGGAGGGGGGTAGGGGGAGTGGAGTATAGGACAAAAGCAAATGAATTAATAAAACGTTTAGTAAGATTTTTTATTGTTATATGTTTTTATATGTTTGAACATAAATTCAATCTAAAACTTAAGTTTACAAATAAGTGAGAAATTGTAAAGTCCTTCTTATCTATTCACAAACAATTACTAGTTGGCTAATCAAATTTAAACATAGAAAATAAAAGCACAATAAGTCAGGGTTCCATTTCTAGGGTTTATCTGGACGAACATTGTTTACCGGTTACACTTACACCTTTATAAAATGTCACTGACAATATAAACATTTAGACAAAAAAATCAGAAACAGTATAGAATCATAGTCCTTAACATCTTCCAGAAATAGTATCTTAGTGCTTAGAATCTGCCAGAAATAGTATTTTAGTCCTTACAATCTGGCCAGAAATAGTATCTTAGTCCTTAAAATCTGCCAGAAGTAGAATAATAGTCCTTAAAATCTGCCAGAAATAGTATCTTAGTCCTTAAAACAGAAATAGTATCTTAGTCCTTAAAACCTGCCAGAAATAGTATCTTAGTCCTTAAAATCTGCCAGAAATAGTATCTTAGTCCTTAAAATCTGCCAGAAGTAGAATAATAGTCCTTAAAATCTGCCAGAAATAGTATCTTAGTCCTTAAAATCTGCCAGAAATAGTATCTTAGTCCTTAAAATCTGTCAGAAATAGTATCTTAGTCTTTAAAATCTGGCAGAAATAGTATCTTAGTCATTAAAATTTGCTAGAAATAGTATCATAGTTCTTTAAATCTGCCACAAATAGTAACTTAGTCTCTTAAATCTGCCAGAAATAGTATCTTAGTCCTTAAAATCTGCCAGAAATAGTATCTTAGTGCTTAGAATCTGCCAGAAATAGTATCTTAGTCCTTAGAATCTGTCAGAAATAGTATCTTGGTTCTTTAAATCTGCCAAAAATAGTATCGTAGTCCTTTAAATCTGCCAAAGGTAGTATTTTAGTCCTTAAAATCTGCCAAAAATAGTTTCTTATTCCTAAGAATCTGCGACAAAACCTGCTACATATAGTATATTAGTCCTTAAAATCCACAACAGATATTATATTTGCCCTTAAAATCTGCCAGAAATAGTATTAATTAGTCCTGAAAATCTGCCACAAATAGTATCTTGGTCCTTAAATTCTGCAACATCTAGTATCTTTGTCCTTCAATTCTGCCACAAGTAGTATCAATTATTCCTTAAAATCCTTAAATGTCTGTTCTCAAAACACAGATTAATCTGTATACAGCTTATATTGTCTGTTCTCAGTACACAGATTTATCTGGATTTAGCTTATTATTGTCTATTTTTAATTCATAGATTAATTTGAATTCAGCTTTTATTTTTTATTGTCTGTTCTAAATACACAGATTTATCTGTATTTAAATAATATTGTCTATTCTCAGTACACAGATTTATCTGTATTCAGCTTATATTGTCTGTTCTCAATACACAGATTTATCTGTATTCAGCTCATATTGGCTGTCCTCAATACACAAATTTATCTGTATTCAGCTGATATTGTCTTTTCAATACACAGATTTATCTGCATTCAGCTGATATTGTCTGTTCTCAATAAACAGATAAATCTGTATTCCGCTTATATTGTCTGTTTTTAATAAACTGATTTATCTTTATATAGTATCAAGCAGAGCACAACCTTTAAGAAACTGTTTGATGCCTTCTACCAAACAATTCACCAGTGCTTAGGATCCAAGGGGTAAAATATCAACCAAAAACGGCAAAAAAAAAAAAATTTTTACTCCTAAACTCAAATCTGAACTTTTGAAAAAAGAGAGATTATAAAAATTTCCTCATTTTTGAATGGTTCATTAAGTTTTAGGATAAAAATGAGCGAAAAAAATTAAACAAAATTTGAAAATTATTTTTTGTTTAAAAAATCCAGTAAATCTTAAAGAAATTACCTGGATCCTGATACATTTGTTTCCAGTGCGGATCCAGGATCCGGATCCGCATCAAAATCAAATGGATCCTAAGCACTGCAATTCACCTCTCTGAGCGGTCTGCTCTGAGGTTTATTTTTTATTTTCTAAGTTTCAGTCCATGTATAAAATTAAATCCATGATTTGCGATTTTAGTGTATTTAAAAAGTCATAAAGTTATAATAAAATCACAATGTCAAATATTTTACAAAAACTATTATGATTAATAATCATTAATCATAATATATATAAGAAAAGGACTATCAACACGCACAATAACAGCTGTAATTATAAAGCCCAATTTCAAATATTTAACAAAAACTATTATGATTATTGATTAATAATCATTAATTATAATATATATATATATATAAGAAAAAAGTATCAACACACACAACCAGCTGTTATTAAAGCCCAATTTCAAATATTCACAAAAACTATTATGATTATGATATAAATTGTAAAACAAAAACCGAACACAAAGTTCGCGGATTTTATGAAAAAATCTTGGATTTTCAAAATTTAACGAAAATCGAATTTCGTTGGATGCTAATTTTTGAAATTTTGATCATATATATAAACCTTTCCTAGGGTCATGTAAGGTCCCACACAAAATTTGGGCCTGATCGGTTCAGCCGTTTTGACATTTATTGAATACAAAAAAACAGATACAAGCAAAGTATTTATATATAGATATATTTTATGTATATATGATGTATATGGTATTTGATATATATTCCATTCATTACATTCAAATGATTTCTAGGTTTCATTTCGACGGAAAACATGTACGTTCTTATGGCACTACAGAATGGGAATGCGTAGTGGAGACTGATATCCTCACCTGGCAGGAGGATATATTTCAACATTGAGAACATGGAACAACACCTGGAAAACATCTTCTAGAAGTAGAAAATATCTCCAAATCTTACATTAACCTTGCAATCCCCTAATTGCTCTCTAACATTTGTGTCTGGGCAAGGATGTAATGCAAGGAAAGTTATTTCAGCAGTGTACGCATCTTTTGTACTGCAGTGTACTGTCTCTTGGGACTCTGGGCGGTAATGTAAACACAAGACGGATGTCGAAGCCTGACATGGGATCCATCTTTTACATAAAAAAATCAATACAATATTCAGGTCATAGGAAACTATTATGTGCATTATCAAAGTTATCAAAATTTAATGCTTTTAACCTCCTCGGATACTAAACGAACACTGATGCATCTAATCTTGTTTACAAATTCCGCCCAGAGAGAACTGGTTTCAATATGTGCGCAGAGTATACGCGACAGCAATTAACTTTTCTTGCATTACAACCTTGTGTCAGGGCATGTTTTTGCATTTCTTATTAAGCTGCAGATTGTAGCTCCTTCACGATTTTGAATCTTAACCGCAGCATTTTTGACAACATTTTATAGTTTAAAAATGGACATTTTTAAGATTAATATGATTCGTTATAAATTGTGACTGAAGTTTTTTTAGTCTTTAGTTTAAGAAAGTTCATTTTGATTTAACAATTTGTTTAATGTCTGGTAACCACTTAATGTAAACGATTGGTAAAATGTTCCAGATAATAATATATAAGAATGGCTGGTGAAGACTCTAAAGTATTCCTGGATGAGTTGAACGGAACCCTCTCCGTCAACATGAATTCCTCCTCGGCTGCTCCGGGGGATTCTACTTCTCTACTGATATTGATTGAATACCCAGATGGGGTTCAAACTAAGTACAAGTCAGTGCTATACACTTTTGTAAATAACTTTTATCTCTTCTTTACGGTAGGCAATAGGGATGCTATAAATTTACATAAAAATCAACCTTTCTTGGGTTTTAAAAACGGTAAAATCTATCAAGTTTCGTAATACGTATTTTTTGTTCAGAAATAAAATGTTTTGTAAATCAGGAACTTCTTGCAGAAAAATCGTAATCAATTAGGGTTGCAATCTAACATTGCGACCCTGGTTTCAGGGTTGCAGTGTAAATATCAGGGATTCAGTATTGTCATAATTTTGTTCAAAAGTTGGAAAACATTAGTTTTCGAACATTTAGGAGGGATTTGTAAATAAACTGCCTGGTTACAGGTCACATTATGTGGTGAATTATATTTTGTAAGTAACATTTAGTGTTCTATCATATTTTTCAGTGTTATATCATATTTTACAATTAACATTCAGTGTTGTAACAGATTAAGTAAAGGTAACATTTAGTGTTGTAACATTTTTTATGGAAACATTTAGTGTTGTAAAAACTTTACAGGTAACATTCCGTGTTAAAAGATATGTTATTGGTGATATTCAATCTTGTAACATATTTTATAGGTAACATTCAGTGTTAAAACATATAACATAGGTAATATTCTGTGTTGTAACATATTTTAAAAAAATCAGTGTTATAACGAATGTTATAGGTAACATTTAGGGTTGTAGCAAATTTTTAAGGTAACATTTAGTGTTTTAACATGTTTTATAGGTAATATTTAGTGTAGAAACATATTTTGCAGGTAAAATTCAGTGTTGTAACATGATTTATAGGTAACATTTAGCCTTGTAACATATTTTTTACTGTCTCAGAACAATGATTTATCTGTATTTAGACTCAAGCAGAGCACAACCTTTAAGAAACTGTTTGATGCGTTCTACACAACTAACCACCTATCTGATCGTTCTCATCTCAGGTTGGCTTTAGTATCTATTTATTTTTTAGTTAATAGATTTTTGTTTTAAATTAATTCGATGTCTCAAAATTTCTAGGTTAAACTGTAGACTAATAGCACTTCTGGAAAATTTTTCGCCCTAGTTTTTACCAACTTTTTTTACAATACAGATTTTTTAAATTAAGACTTGTTGTTTCTAATTAGTACCACATGTCATCAATAAGTTTTTTATCAGTTCCGTCTCTTATCTCTATTAATTCTTATTAGATTCATCCTGTCTCTTTTCCTTTCTAAACTTCTTGTTCGCCCTGTCTCTGTTCCTTTCTAAACTTCTTGTTCGCCCTGTCTCTGTTCCTTTCTGAACTTCTTGTTCGCCCTGTCTCTTTTCCCTTCTAAACTTCTTGTTTGTTCTGACTCTTTTCCCTTCTAAACTTCTTGTTTGTCCTGTCTCTTTTCTCTTCTGACTCTTTTCCCGTCTAAACTTCTTGTTTGTTCTGACTCTTTTCTCTTCTAAACTTGTTGTTTGTTCTGACTCTTTTCTCTTCTAAACTTCTTGTTTGCCCTGACTCTTTTCTCTTCTAAACTTCTTGTTTGTCTTGGCTCTTTCCTTTCTAAACTTGTTGTTTGTTCTGACTCTTTTCTCTTCTAAACTTCTTGTTCGTCCTGTCTCTTTTCCTTACTAAACTTCTTGTTCGTCCTGTCTCTTTTCCCTACTAAACTTCTTGTTCGTCCTGTCTCTTTTCCTTTCTAAACTTCTTGTTCGCCCTGTCTCTTTTCCAGTCTAAAATTCTTCTTTGTCCTGCCTCTTTTCCTTTCTGAACTTAATGTTCGCCCTGTCTCTTTTCCCTTCTAAACTTCTTGTTTATCTTGTCTCATTTCCTTTCTAAATTTCTTATTTGTCCTGTCTCTTTTCCCTTCTAAATATCTTGTTTGCCTTGTTTCTTTTTCTTCTTTACTTCTATTCGTCCTGTCTCTTTTGCCTTCTAAACCACTTGTTCGTTTTTTCCTTTCTATACTTCCTATTCGTCCTGTCTCTTTTCCATCGTATACTTCTTATCTGGACAATACTTTCTATAAATACCTTATCCGTCCTCTATCTTATTCGTTCTACACACCTTATCCATCCTGTCTCTTATCCCTTCTATACACATTTGTCCTGTCACTGATCCCTTCTATACACCTTATCCATCCTGTCTCTCATTCCTTATCACAACTATTCCATCCTGTCTCTTACTTCTTCCTTTAATTTTTTATCCGTCCTGTCTCTTATCCGTTCTATACACCTTATCCGTCGTGTCTTTTATTCCTTCTTAACACCTTATTTGTCCAGTCTCTTATACCTTTTATACACCTTATCCGTCCTGTATCTTATTCCTTCTATTCCTTCTATACACATTATCCGTCCTGTATCTTATTCCTTCTCCTTCTATACACCTTATCCGTTCTGTATCTTATTCCTTCTATACACCTTATCCGTCCTGCCACTTATTCCATCTATACACCTTATCCGTCCTGTATCTTATTCCTTCTATATACCTTGTCCGTACTGTATCTTATTCCTTCTATACACCTTATCAGTCCTGTATCTTATTCCTTCTATACACCTTATCCGTCTTGTATCTTATTCCTTCTATACACCTTATCCGTCCTGTATCTTATTCCTTCTATACACCTTATCCGCCATGTCTATTATTCCTTATCCTTCCTGTCACTTATTTCTTCTATTCTTGTTATCTGTCCTGTCTGTTATCCCTTCTATACACCTTATCCGTCCTGTATCTTATTCCTTCTATACACCTTATCCGCCCTATCTCTTATATCTTTAAACTCCTTTTCCGTCCTGTCTCTTATCCCTTATATACATGTTATCCGTCCTTGTCTCTTATCCCTTCTATACACCTTATCCGTCCTGTCTGTTATCCCTTCTATACACCTTATCCGTCCTGTCTCTTATTCCTTCTATACACCTTATCCGCCCTGTCTCTTATCCCTTCTATACACCTTATCCGTCCTGTCTCTTATTCCTTCTATACACCTTATCTGCCCTGTATTTTATTCCTTCCATTCTCCTTATCCGCCCTGTATCTTATTCATTCTATACACCTTATCCGCCCTTATCCCTTCTATACACCTTATCCGTCCTGTCTCTTATCCCTTCTATACACCTTATCTGCCCTGTATTTTATTCCTTCCATTCTCCTTATCCGCCCTGTATCTTATTCATTCTATACACCTTATCCGCCCTGTATCTTATTCCTTCTATACACCTTATCCGCCCTGTATCTTATTCCTTCTATAAACCGTATCCGTCCTGAATCTTATTCCTTCTATACACCTTATCTGTCCTATCTCTCATTCCTTCTATACACCTTATCCGTCCTGTATCTTATTCCGTCTATACACCTTATCCGTCCTGTATCTTATTCCTTCTATTCACCTTATCCGCCCTGTCTCTTATTCCTTATCCTTCCTGTCACTTATTTCTTCTATTCTTCATATTCGTCCTGTCTGTTATCCCTTCTATACACCTTTTCCGCCCTGTCTCTTATATCTTTAAACTTCTTTCCCGTCCTGTCTGTTATCCCTTCTATACACCTTATCCGTCCTGTCTGTTATCCCTTCTATACACCTTATCCGTCCTGTCTGTTATCCCTTCTATACACCTTATCCGCCCTGTCTCTTATATCTTTAAACTCCTTTCCCGTCCTGTCTCTTATCCCTTCTATATTCCAGTCCTTAACCGTCCTGTATCTTATTCCTTCTATACACCGTTTCTTAAAACAGCTTTTCCGTCATGTCTTATACTTATTCCTTAGTTCTTATCCATCCTATCTCTTACTTTAACTTAAATTTTTTCTTTGTTTCATAAATAACAGATGTTTATTTTATTCGATAATTTAAATGTAATTTAAATGATATTTAGGTTTCATTTTGACGGACAACGTGTAAAACCTGAAGACACTCCAGATGGATTAGGAATGCAGAGCGGAGATTGTATTGATGTCAGATCAGAGCAAGAGGGAGGACTACTTTAGAAGGAGTTGAACATCTTCTAGAAATATAAATATATCAACCTGGCAACCGTCATTACTATACTAAAAATTCTAAAATTCGCGAATTTTTTATTCAGCTGAAAATTGTAGCTCCTTAAAGATTTTGAAATTTATCTGTGCACCATTTTAATTTTTGAATTTTTGTTCTCATGTTAAAAATAGACAATTTAAAGAAAAATGATTCATTCTTGTTTTTTTGTCTGAATTTTTTTTATTTTCGTCTGTATTTTAATTAAGTACATTTTTATTTAATAATTGGACCAATTTCAGATTAAATAATGAATATGTCTAATATGTCTGATAAGGTCTCCCTAACAGTAACGGGATTATGTTTCTAGAGATTCAAATAGACAAAATAGATCACTGTGGAGTGTGGACTGAATAATTCCGCACAGTCGTCTCTGAAGTCTCATTCTTTATGGGTAACACTGAACTTACTGACCTGGATTAATGTAATTAATTCAAAGTAATTTCTAAGAATTCAAAGTAATAATGTGCCTACTGTTAATAATCTCAAAAACAAAAGAAAGAGGGTAAGCGTGCCTTCCAATTAAATTTGGATCATGCGTTTTTACTTATTTGGTCACAATTTCATTTAAAATAACATATCATGATTTAGGGAAACAGAGTTCAACACTTTTGAATGTTAAATCTGTTTGTGAAGAATGACCTTTTCTATTAAACGTGTTGACCCGTCTGGGAGAGTCAACCAATAAGGGGTAATGTTGATCCGCTCTACTGCCCATCCGTCCTATTGCCAATCCGCTATACTGCCCATCCGACCTACTGCAACATCTGACCTACGACAGCTGTAGGTCGGATGGGCATATCTTCTTGCCCATCCGACCTATTCAGCAGCTTTTGTCATGCCTATAGCGCAGTAGGGTAGAAATAATTAATTGTAGCTGTCGAACGGCCAATCAATTTTGTAGGTCAGATTGGGCACTTTTCGTAGGTCGGATGGGCATATTTCGTAGGTTGGATGGGCATTTTTCGTAGGTCGGATGTGCACTTTTTGTAGGGGGGACGAGCGCTGTGGCCATGAAAGACCTATTATTTTAACAATTTTTAATAATTAGTGTATATTTAAGGTTAGGATAGGTTAAGCTCATTTCTGGGCCGAGCGCTGCGGCTAGGACGGGCTAGGGGGCGGAGCGCTGCGGCCATGAAAGACCTTTACTTCAACAGTTTTTAATAAAATTAGTGTATATTTAAGGTTAGGTTAGGTTAAGCTCATTTCTGGGCCGAGCGCTGTGGCTAGGACAGGCTTGGGGGCCGAGCGCTGCGGCCACATGTCTGGGCCGACCTACGAAATGCCCATCCGACCTACGAAAAGTGCCCATCCGACCTACGAAAAATGTGCCCATCCGACCTACGAAAAATGCCCATCCGACCTACGAAGAATGTGCCCATCCGATCCGTCGGATGCACCAATATGCTGTTTTTAACGTGCTCATCCGACCTACAGTGCATCGGACCTACCACAGTTGTTAAAACCACGTGCTTGTAGGTGGGATGGGCAGTGGAGGGGATGGGCGTAGGTCTAAAAATACACCATCCAATAAGGTGTTTGCAGTGCTTATTTCAAACCTCTGCCAACAGACGGATTCTGAATGATTGGAAAGTCAATTTTTTAATACTCCTTCCAACGAATCTTAACTTTAACCCGTCAAACCCAAACCTAATTTTTCTTCAAATTAAAAACATTTTCCCTAAGTTATGAAATAGAATAACGTTGTTCCATTTTTTGAGGGAGGGAAGGCAAATGGTTCTGGGTTCTTACCAAGAAATTCAACTTTTCGGCATCTGAGCATTAAAACATCATTTTGAGATGCTGGGCCACAGCATAACATGTCATATAGTTTAAAGTATGTTGTATATATGTAAGGACATAAAGAATTAAAGTAGAGAAAAAGGTGTTGTCTAAAGAGTGGGGGAAGGCAGGCGGCCATATACCGCAACTGGCGCGTTTCCCCTCCATGCCACATATTAGCTTTTATTGTCTTCTGGCAGCCATAAGCCACAACCGTTCGGTCTTTTATTCAACAACATTTTTTATATTCCGGGAATGATTACGTCATTAAATGATAAATTTAGTGGATACAAATTGCAATTTTCAAACATCCAGCCGCATTATATGCAAAAATGATAACCTAAAAACCTTTTTTGAAAAAACATTGATACCTTTTTAAAATATGTTTAAGTAAACTATTTGATCATATACACACTTTCATATTACAAGAGTTAATAAACTATTTATGTAATTTTCTTAAGTGGACTCATCAGACACTCCCTCTTGATACTGTCGGTGTAAGCTTCAAGGGGTGAAAAATAGAGATGGAAATGTTTCTTTAAAATATCTTTATTTTTATAGGATTGATACATATTGTATTATAAATAATGATATCAAATGCATATTTACACTGAATGGCGCTATTGATTATTAGATTAAAGCTTTTTTAATGGAACTTTTTTAGTTAAGGGCAAAAGTGAGATTTTAAAGTATTTTTTTTACTTTTTCATGTACTTATACTTAAATGGAATACATACATAATTTCAAGTGACCCTCCATTTATAGAGTAGCATGTTCGATGTACCTTTGAAACACCTTCATTTCTCCGTTGTTTCTGAAGCAAGAAATGTATGAGTCACTTTTGCAGAGAAACCACAAATAAAAGCATCAGTTTTCAAAATGGGAAACATGGATATTTAATGCAATACTTGATCAGGCAAAGCTTTGAAGGGTTTTGTTGTGAATCATAATATAATTTCTTTCTTTCTGAATCTTTTAGTATGGGTGAGTGCAATGCAATGCAGTGCAATGTAGAATGTAGAATGTAGATTGCCTGAGGAAGGGAAATGCAAGCAGATGTAATATTAAATGAGCCCCCCCCCCATGTGTGCCTCCCTCAGGGGGGCCGTGCACCTCAGCCCCCCCCCCCTTGTACGCCCTTGAAATCAATAAATTGTGTGTTCAGTTTAGTAACTGCTTAACATTATACAAAGAAAATTTACACCATTTTACAAATTATGGGTACCAAGACAAATTGCTTTGGGTAGTCTAAATAATAAGAAGACATAAGAAAAATCACACTATCAAATGTCAATATTATTTTTATACTAAGCATTAATGATTTTCTTCAAAAAAAAATTCTATTTTGAAATTTTCTCATGAACTAGTACTTAAAAAGTATGTTATGGTTCATAATTTTTTCTATTATAATGCTTTAACTAATGAGCCATTTTAGTAAAAACTTTGAATTTATCTTGGAGGAAAAAAGTTTAGCAGTCTAAAATGAAAAGAAACATTATTTTTTCAAATTAAAACTTAGATTTAAAGATGTTTTTATTCATCTTTTGCATGACTTGGCTGGGTTTTTGAAAATCGCAATTAGAATGCATAAGACTTACCATCTAAAAAAGTAACAATTGCTAGAAGACAAAAATGCTGTGACATGAAAGACCGAACAGTTGTGGCTCATGGATGCCGGAAGACAACAAAACTTTTATATGTTGCATGGAAGGGAAAATGGTTGTGGCTTATGGCTTCCTGCATTCCTCGGCTTGTCTGAACATTATAGATTTTCAGTTTTCCGCTTTAGGGATAATTTAATACGTTTTGCAAAAATTGATTTAAGAGGAACATTTAAATTTCTCAGCTCACAAAGCCCCAATGTTGCCTTAATGTTGTGTTGGGGGAGTGGAAAATTAAATTGTTATATTCTGCACTATTATTAACAAAAAATGAGGTATATTGAAGAAGTATTGTAAGTAATTATTTAAAAGTTTCCTTTAGGGATTAAATATAGAAAGGGGGCCTCCCAGGCTTATTTCCTAAAAATGAATACACCTTTAGCTTGTTGAGCCCCCTGCACTTGTGTTCAAAATTTTAGAAATAACACATGTAAAAATATTGTTAATTATGCATACACACAAAAATTATTTTTTAATTATTATTAATACTATATAACAAATTGCAGAGGGGATACAAATTTCGTGAAATTTTCAATTATTACTCCTTCTGTACCCCTTTAAAATTTCAGGGTAAGTATCCAGTAAATTGCAATTCAATCATCATGCTTTGCAAAATACCATTATATAGAACATTTCAGGAAAGCTTCTTTAAAAAAAAGTAGTCATGTAAGCAAGGAGAAGAATTGATTTTGAAAATTTTCAGCATTTAAGCAGTATGGGTTAAGACCAATACAATAATTATGTCTATCTATATCCCAACTTGGGTATGCCTATAAATAAAAAATGTAAAATCTTTCTAAGGGGACATAATCTGAGTTATACAAATTAAAGAACATATCTAGAACTTGGTGGTTTGACAAAGTGAATTTTAAACCAAATCAAACTTTAATAATTTCCGTGATGCTTAAACAAAAATTTTAAGAAAAAGTCGGACAAAAACGGGAAGTTTGCCTTCCCTTCCTCGTCACGCTTTGAATCCTTTTAAATAAGCAGAATTTTCTTTTCTTTTGTGCAATTTTACTAAATATTGGGTTTTAATTTTCAAGATTACAGCCCCACCACCCCCTTCCCCATGAGCACTTTATATACCCCCTGCCCCGGGCGCCCCTGTTCAATGTCTGGGTCCTCAAAAACAGCTGTTTGTTCCTATCTATCTATCAGCTGATTTTCCGGATTCGACGCGGGTCGCCATTTCTCCCATGTCCCAGTCCTCCTAGGGCCAGTTCAGTTTTTGAGTGGCTGTTACCAAGCGACCCTGCACTTAATAGCGTCTGTCTGAGATTTCCCCCTGCCTACCTTCGTGTCCGTTACCCACGCCCCCCCACCCCTACTGCCAGAGGTCAGTGTGGCTGCAGCCTCGACTTTAGGGGTTATAGTGGCTGAAGGAGGACGGTCTATCTACGCAGTTTAGAGGAAACCTCAACATTGAATTATTCGGTCTAGAGAGTCAAGAGTTATAGAAGTATTCATAATTATCCAGGGATATTTATTATAGTCTATTATGTTTTTAAATTGTACTATACTAGAGTAGCTATGTTTGTACTGCTTTTAGATATGTGTGTACGTGTACTATACTTTTCATCCAAGTTTGTTAAATTACTGTCCGCCTTGTACTATACTCTAGTTGACAAAGTACCACGCCTTGTACTATACTCTAGTTGACAAAGTACCAGTCTATTTCTATTTTTAGAC